GGCATTGGCAGCCGCTGGAGGTCTCCGGCACCGGCAGCGGCGGCACCCCCGCGGGCGCGGGATCCTCCGCCGGCTTTGGGTTGGCTTTGGGTTGTCTTTGGGGGGTTACCCCGGTTGTCTTGGGGGGGGGGCGGGTTGAACTTAGGTGTTTGTTCTTGTTGTTTTTGGTTTTGTTTGTGTTTTTTGGGTGGTTCCTTAGCGCTTTGGATTTTGTTGGGGGGTTCTTTAGGTTTTAAAGAATTCTTTTCGGGGGTTAGTGGTAGTTTCCATTAAGCCACTCTTCTAGCCGGGCATCTGGGAGATTCTGGGAGCCCAGGTTGCTCACCAAGGCAAGCGAATCGACCCTTGTGCTCCCTCGTGTTCATGGACTTTAGTCAGTTGCTGAAGTTTTGTTTGTCTCTAGCAAGGATGTCTCATGTTATCCCTATTTGGTGCTTTGGTTTGGTTGTTTGGACGTTCGGGGGGTTGGTTACCCCCCTTGAAATTGCTCTGGGTTTGCCTGTTGATGATTCTTGTTCCAGGGGACTTAAGCTTTACTTGGATCCATGTCCGAAAACACATAATGTTGACCCAGGATTAATAAACCGGTCCCATTATTAGGGGGTGTTTCCTCCAAAAGTGATGAATCCCTACTAAAAGGGGACACCCGCCTATTAATCAACCAGGGGATAATTAATCCGGGGTTAACATTGCTGTGGATGGTTGTGAAATCCATGTCGCACCAGCAAAGAAACCATGGTCTCTGGTTCGATCCGCTTGTCAATACCAACAAACAATGGTTTCAACCATGGATTCAATCTGGCACGTGTCCGACCATGCACTGTATGGCTGGGCTGTGGCTCCAAACAGGGAATCCCAAAAATGGTTGCCACCTCCGTAAACGAAAGCAAGAACTCAAACCTTCGCAACCCCAGCTGTAGATGTTGGAGCCAAACCTATATACAGATGTCTTGGGAGGTTTAAACAAAACGAGTGACTTACCCTTGTTGTCCTTGTTGTTTCATTTGGCAACATGGCTTTCCTTGTCTTGCTGTTTTCTTGAAACTTTGTTTGGGAGTGTCTTTGTTGAGGGTACCATGTTTTTGGTGGGTTTGACGGGTCACCTCGAGTAAAATCGCAATTTTTGGGGCCCCCCTTAAGAATAATAATGATAATAAACGTGACAAATCATGGCGACCGCGTGTTTTTGGTTGGACGTCTCCTGGGGCTCCACGTCAGACGGCATGGGCTGGGGCAGCACGTCGATGGACCAGGTGGTGTTCTCCATGGTGTCCTCCATGTCTTGAGCGCTGGCCTCGCCGCAAGGGAAACGTTCAGAGCATGCCACTCGAAACTCTGGACGTTGATTCCCCCCGGATCTGATCGCTTTGCTTTTGTGTTTCCCCCACTCGGCCCATGTGAATCCTCAAGGCCCCAACTTGTTTCTAGGGGTTGATTCCTTTTCCATTCTTTTCAACCATCGTTCTTTTCGAAAACCGGATCTGTTTCCCATGGTTTTTTGTGGTTTTCTAGAAAGATTCGGATCCCTGGGTTCAGAATGGGGGAGCCACCCTTAGAGAAATGGCAACGGCGCAGAAACCGCTGGGAAAACCACATTCTCGCTTTTACCTAGGTCCTCCAGTAGAAAGGTTTGAATATGGGTACCAACTTTTTTCGTTTTTTTTGTTTTGGTTTTGTCTATTTTAGTAGGGGAACCCTCCCCCAAAAAAGGGTAAAAGGGCAGTACTGGGGGACCTAGACTGGGAAAACACATTCTCGCTTTTGTGGAGTCCTTAATGGGGTAGGTACACGGGGGGGTGGGTAGTTGAGAGCTGTAGGGCTCGTCTTCCCAGGCAACCTTGGGGAATCCTTGCCCCCCTCCTAACACTTGCGCAAAGGACCCAAACAAATAAAAGGCGATCACCTCTTAAGGCTATGGCTAATGGACCAAAATTGGAAAAACCAAAGGTTAGATCAGGTCGATTCGGCAGAGGGGCGAGCAACTGAGCATTTGCCCGCCATCGAAAAGGAAGCCCGTTTAGGAGGTGGGTTCAACAGCTCAAACCATGGTGAAAAGAAGCAGCACCACATGGCTCTGAAATTGGAAAGTGGGTTGCCTGAGAACCAGGCGAGTCGTCACCGAGGTGTTTGCTACAGGTGGTTTTTGCATGTACCGGAAACCTCATGTTTTGAGACAACTCAAATGGCAATGAACTTTTATAGCGAACCACCTCACAAGTGGTTGGTGGACATGAATCCCTGCCCAATGTATGTCCTCCAGGGTCCCTTAAAATTGTCATGCCCATGCAGCAAACTCTCCCTGTTGAAGTTTGAGGTAACCTGAGGCTCCCACCCTCTCTCACTCACTCACTCCCTCGCTCGCTCACCTCACTCACTCACCCACCCACCCGCCCACCCACCCACTCACTCACTCACTCTCTCTCTCTCTCTCTCGCGTTCTCTTTCTTTCTTGGTTCCACGAGCAAAAGGCCCTCGACCTTCCATCTATTATTTGTTCTGCTTTAAAAATCAAGTCCGGAACAAACGGCCGATTCAGGCCACTTGAGCAGGCGAGAGTGAGAATCTCACGTGCAGTCCCTCAAAAGGACGAGTGTGTGTGTGTGTGTGCGTGTGTGCTGAATTTGAAAAAGAACCTTCCTTCCGAATGGGGCCTGAATCCTTCAGGAACACCAAAAGGAAGCCGGCCGTATGTGGTAACCCAACCCTCCCCCCCTTAAACAAGGCTCCCCTTGGTAAGGCCTCACTACGCTTTGTTTTGGGCAATATCCGGGCTCCAACCCGCCTTGGTTAAACCTTGCCCAACCCACCGCCCAAAAGCCGCACGCCTCTTCGTCCTCCTTTGAGGCTGTCACTCCCGACATGGCCGCCTCCTGCAAGGCGGGGGAAAGGAATCGTTCCAAGCAATGGCACGGGACGCGATGTCTCACGCCTGTGATGCAACGCAGGATTAATAACCTTGTGGTTAACCTGCCCCCGTTTAGAGGGAATCCTTCGCTTTAATAATGCATCAGATGAAATCCGGGGTCGACATAATATATACTTTATACTCCCCTCTCCATACATGGCTGGCGACAAAGCGGCCCTTTATTGGAGCCCGGCACGCACACCCAATCCCAAACGAGTCCCCTTGTCTTGGTGAGGTGTCATTACATATCCCACCCAAACATTGCAAATCTCAAAGGGGAAGCCCTTGCAGTGGTCGATCTTTCCTTAACATGTATCTCCAGTGGAGAGGTTAGAATAAGAGTAGCCCCAAAAAAGGGTGAGAAAGGGCACTACTGGGAGACCTACGAAGCGTCCCTTCCCTTTAAAACGGCCGGGTTCCAGAGTTCTGCTTTCCAGGTCGCTGTGCGAACATCATGCCTATCCTACTGACAGGGCGAAATGGTTGGCATGTACAGCGCACAAATTCGGGGGTGTACGACGCTAGATCTGTTGCAACCTCCAAAGGTTTTTTTAAGGATCCCTCTTGAGAATCCTGGTCAAGGTTCCCATGATTTATTCCCCCGTTGGTGAATTCTGTGTATGTACCATGGAAAACCTGGCTTCTCGAATTCTGCCCTCAACAAAGTGGGCATCAAAAGGACTCAACTGTCCTATGCCTTGGTTAGTGAGGAGCTAATCATTTTCCCAAGGGACGCAACCTGTAGCACCCCCCCAACAGTGGTGGTGTCCTTGTGGTTTCCACTTGAACCAGCCCTAAAAGGGTACCCGCAAAAAGAAACAAGACGACCCACTCAGGCGAAGGGCTTGGGCCGATATTGGAGTCACGCTCGCTCACTGCTCGCTCGCAGGCCTCCGCCGACTGCATGTTCCTGGGTATGCTCTGTTGGGGTTGGTCCTCTTGGTTGACGTTGGAAGGGGAGCAACCAAAATAGGTTTTAGCAGTTAAGTGGGGGTTTCCCACTAAACCACAATAAGCAAAAACGTAAAATGGTTCCCAACCACCATGAAGTCCTAGGGTTTTTCTCTCTCTCTCTCTCTCTCTCTGCCGCACCATCGGCCATTCTGTCCACCAAAGGGGCTGCCAAGAGCCCGTTTCAGGCCGCTTCAGAGGGGCTGGTTCCAAGCATGCTGTTCGATCATTGCTTGCTTGCTGAGGGGGAAAAAAAAGCGGCTTCCGGAGACTTTTCAAGATGGACTCCTGGAAAGAATGGGGAAGGTGACCGGAAGGTGCCCCCTAGAACGGCTTGATAGGGACACCAAAAGGAAAGCCCAGATCAATTTCGCTTGGGACCGGCTTCTAAAGCAAGTCATAGCTGATATGAACTCAAATACGAACCTGCGGTTTGGGCGTGGCAACCGTCTTCAAACTAAGGGAAATGAAGCTAACGATTCGGTCTGGCATCTCGATTCGGTTCCCTGTGTGGCCCATTGGCTTAGAATCGGTTGTTTCCTTGGTTGCTGTTGACCCCCCTGCAAAAAGTTCAACTGTTTGGGGGTTTAGTGGAAAACACATTCTTTTCCCAACAACTTAAAGCCTAAAGATCCAACCCAATAAATTCAATAGCAGTCAAGTTTCCCCCGGCTTTGCGGTCCCATTGAAAAGCCCAAAACGGCTTTGGGTCTCCAGAACTTGGAGGATGGCCATGGCTAAGCTCAAGCTTCGGCTCAGTCCTCTTGTTTTGGCTGGAAGAAGCGGACCCCAGCAAAAAATATATAATTTTTGCCTGGTTAGTCATACTAGTTCGGAGGGCTGTACTAAGGGGTGGTTCCCCTTTTTGTAAGTAAATGATGCTCTTTGTTTCGGGAGGGTGGCCCTCTGCCTAGCTGGATCCAATCCATGTGACCACTAGGCAAACCAAACCATCCACCTACTCCCAACAATTTGGCGCAACGCCCATGTTGAGCGTGCTTCTGAAACAAGAAGCCTACAAAGCGGATGACATTTGAGAACGGGAGCCGGCAAACGAAGCCTAACAAGGTGCATGATATGTAGGAGGGAAGGTTCCCAGTTGGGAAATTTGGAAAAAGCGCCCACTGCCGACTGAGCATCTCTTCTACCTCCATCTGCTGGGCATCGTGGGCCATTTGCATCTGGGGGTCGTGCCTCGTCAAACCAAGGCGACAAACCTTTGGGAGACGAGAGAGCTCACTTCTCGAGTTGGCAGCCCCAAAAAAGTAAGCAAACCTTGGTTTTGCCACTGAAATTGTCCAAACCCAAAAAGTGACTCAAGTCCAGGAACTCAGAAAGTGAGAGATCACCTTGGGGAAGGATTGACTTTGAACCTGGACCCTGGTGTTGGCTAGCTTGTTGATTGCGCCAATTCACACCGGAGCACCCTTCCTCTCTACTGGAGGACCTAGGTGGGTTAACGCGCTTTCTGCTTATGGGCGCAGTGGAAATCAGAAATGGGAGGCCCGTTCGCGCCAGAACTCGGCCGAGTGCAGGTCCGGTGACCCCGCTTCTGATTCCTTACATCTGGGTGATGTTTGAGCGGGGAACCCATTGCAGCAAAGCAAATGGTGACTATTGTGGATCAAGAGGTCCTTTACATGGGACCATTGGGGGAACCCAGCAAAATATGATTTTCCCACGTGGGAAAGCTACGTGACAAAACTGAAAGCCGAAGGAAATATTAATCAGCCGTGTAAGATGGCTTCCACTAGCCCGATGCTTTCAGGCCCCAGCGGCTTCGTGGGAGATTCGCTTTTGCCAGTGGGGTAGTGGTTTGAGGGTGGAAGCATCTTAGCATCATGCTGTTTTAGTAGGGGAGCACTTTCATGTAAGTACGGCGGAGGCTATCTGCCTCTTCAGCTCTTTGCATGCAAGCGGCATACCCGCGCCCATACCACCCATGCCGCCGCCCATGGAAGCGTCCATCCCATGCCCGCCCATTCCATGACCGCCCATGCCAGCGTCCGGGCCCATCCTGAGCCATGCAAGGGGGTCCCTTCTAGGTCCTCCTGTAGGGAGGTTGGAACAAGGGTACCCACTGTTTTTTTTTTTTTTTTTTTTTTTTTTTTTTTTTTTTTTTTTTTTTTTTTTTTTTTTTTTTTTTTCGGTTTTGTCTATTTTAGTAGGGGAACCCTCCCCAAAAAAAAGGTAAAAGGGCACTACTGGGGGACCTAGCCTTGGTATGAACCTGCCGTTCGAAGGCAATTTCATTTGTGCAAACTTGTCACAAGCTCAATCAGGTATCGCCTCCGCCCAAAGGACGAGCATGAAAGGTTTGCCTTGACTTTGACGAAACCAGGGCCAAAAAGGGAGGGGTGAAAAGGCCGATTCGCCCTGGACAGCGTTAGGTCAACCAAGGCATAAGCAGCTGGCAACTTGGGGACGGGGTTCCACAGTGGGGTGGGAACCTTATTTACCCACCACCAGGGGTTTAATGCAAATCACCAAACGTTCCCTGACCCTTCACTACAAAACACCAGCAAACGGGAGTAACCAACGAGCTACAAAGTCGGCTGCCGGCAACCCGTGAAAGTTGCACTTTTAGTGGTTTGATGGAAACCCACCAGTGGGCAAAAAGTTATCCAGTCCTAACATCCCTTGGCAAAATGCAATCCCTCGGCAAAATGCGCCTAAGATCACCTAAGCATTGAACCATCCCTCGGCAAAATGCGCCAAAGCATTGTCGGTTGAACAGCCACCTCTCCTCGCGCCAAGGCGCCCATGCTGTTGCCCTTCCATTCCGACGGCCTCCTCCTGAACTTCCGGCAGCAAGTGAGTGGACCTCACGCGCGAAAGCAACGAACCAGTCTTTCTTTCGCCGCACCTTCCTTGGCTGGAAAAAAGGGACCCCAGCAAAAAATATATATATATATATATTTTTTGTTGCCTGGCTGGTGGAAAACAAAGGGAACCCAAAAATAAACAAAAAAAGCAAAAAGGCAAAAAGGGGAGCTAATTCTGGTGAAGTTTCCTTTTCCATTCTCTCATGCATCCTTCTCTTCGGAAAATGGGCCAAAGTTCTGGTAGGATGGGTGGTGTCTAAAGAGAACGATGGGTGAAAAGAATAGGGAATCAACCCGTAGACGTCCAGCTTATTCCTTCAGTGGTGATTTTGGGCCCTGCTGGGTTAGAGGGTGGGTGGCCGATTACCTGAGATGTTTGCTGGCAGAAAGGCGCTGACCAAGCTCCCACTTAAAAATGAGCGGAACCAAGCAAACCTATAACTCACTCGTTGTTCAATCCCGCTGCCTTCTCATCCCCACCCCCCGCCCGTGAACCTGGTATCAAAAGCACGGGGGGGGCCTTTGGATAAACAAAGGCCAATGAGATTTCTCCAACCCCGAAACCACCAGGAAGCTTGACTTGGCTCAACTCGACACCATCTCCTCGCAAGGTGGGCTCATCTTGGTCGAAACACCACATTCTTCACCGGAGGAACCTAAAATGGTCCAGGCTGAAGCGGCTTCGCCAAAGTATGTTCTGGGTTCCATGTGAATTTGTAGAGTATGCCTTTGGCTACCCGGGACATGGGATAAATTGGGATTGAGGTCCGTGTAGTGGCTTGTCCCCCTGTGTCCCAAAAAAGGACCATCGACTCGGTATGATGCGAACGGAACCCCCCTCCATGCTGTGATGGTGATACATGTATTAAAAGTCATAGCCGTTGCCGAGCAGTAAACCTATGGACTACATTAAATGCGGTGTCCAGGAACAAAGGCACCAGTACGCAGTCAGATGGCTCAGTTCAGGGTTTTTCTGCGTTGCCAAGACTTGGCTCCCCAAAAGCTCCCCTAGCCCAGCAAAACGGAGTCTTAGTCGCTAAAAATGTTGGCAAGATGTTGGGATTGGGGGGCGGGGGGCCCTTGGCAAACCACGTGAATGAACGAATTCCGAACTCTCACCACCATTCAGAAAACCAACGGAATGATTCGATTCCCCCTGGCAAATACCAACAGAAACGTCATGGTTTCATTCTCACGGCGACTCATTTCCTGGTGCGAACAAATTTCAGACCGTCCAAAAGTACCTTAGCATGAAAGACAAAAAAGAATCGGCATCCTTTTTTGGCGGGTTGACTTTCAAGGAATCGGAACCCAAAAGTTGAAAAAAGGAAGCAACCCACTGGGCAACTACCCCCTACAGTAGTGGTAGGAGACTCCTCGGCGCGCTTTCGCGCGGCGGGCGAAATAAGTTTTCGCGCGGCGAAAGCGCCAAGGCCCCAGCGTCTCGCCCGCTTCGCCAGCTTCTCCCTCGCCGCCCTCGCCGCCCTCGCCCTCCTCCTGTCGAGGGTTGCCACGACCCCAAGCCCAGCGGGCAGATTGGAGGGGGCATGAGCCATTACATAAGAACCATGCAGAAAGTACGTGTTGCTTTTTAACCTATATATTTATATGTATAAATATGTGCGTGTTTGCATATGTAGAGACTATATCCAATCTGCCCTTGGCGGCGGTGGCTCAAATTGCAAATTCCGAAATGTCCAAAGAGCCCGGGTTGCCAAAGTCAGAGTTTTTCCCAGGCCAAAGTTGCCAAAGCGATGCCTCCGGGGCGGGGTCTTTTGTGGGGGACCCCCAAAGCAGCAAAAAAGGCACCCCAAATAACCGCCCAGAAACAACCGTCCATAAATAAACCCTCAAAAAAGGCACCCAAAAAAGGCACCCCGAGGGACCCCCATACCCTCAAATCACCCTGCGATCCAACTCTTTAGGCGGCAAGACTTCGTCTGGGCCGGGCCGCTCCAATTCTTCAACAACTCCGTGGGTTCTGATTGCGACTCACATGCCAAGACTCGTCACAACTCGTCATGGGAACATAGGTGTCCAATTTTAGGTTAGAAATCGCTGGGTGTCCCTGGTAGATGAGAAACACATCCACCAGGCAAACCAGGAATCGAAACCCATCTATCTTTCGACCAAAACCTCGCCAGAAAGGACACCTGAAAACATGGTCATGGACGGTTCAGGATATCTTGTCACTGCCCCCACGCCCGAGCGACCGGGAGCTGTCTCAGTGAAACTGCCACTTTCGTTCCGTGAAAGCCACCGCCAGAAGCTAAACACATAGTCAGGAATCAGCACGTGAGCGAAGACCCAGGGAACCCAAAAAAATCTCATCTCAGCACATGGACGCCTTGTAATGTTAACCCCGGAAGCAGAACCCCTGGTTGATTTTGATTGGGGGGTCAATCCCCGTTTTAGTGGGAATTCAGCCCACTTTTGGGGGGGTTTCACCCCCCTAAGAATGGGACGGGTCAACATTAATCCTGGGTCAACATTCGGTCCAAATGAGGCATGGGTCAAAAGCCCGTAGCGCCTGGTGAACACCCCAATCCCCACTAAAATAGGTTCTAAAATGGGTGGTGCAACCATTTCCCAACATGGTACCCGCGGTTTTGACCGCCAAATGAGGCATGGTGCGGAAGAGGCTCCTCCAGCTCCTCGTCCACAAACTCCCCGCCCGCGGTCTTCAGCACCCTGAAACATGGCGGGCGGGCGCTCGCTCCACTAATACCGCCACAAAACGTGCTCTTCCTCCCTTGTTTCTGGGGTGCTGTAGATCCCCCAGCAAAAAGTCTAAACAGGAAATATGAAGGAATCAAAAAAGTTAAAGTCCAAAGATCCAACCCAATAGCGGTAGAGGTTTGTTCCTCTGGAGTTGTGGCCTCTGCGGTGTGTTTGTTGGTTTCTCCCCATTAACGAAACAAACTGCTTAAACATGTACTACACATACCCCTCCCGTCCACGAACATGACACCTGGCTGAAAAGTGGACGGCGGACCATGCTCCTTTAAAAGGGACCCGAGAGAGTGGGTAATGGACGGGAGGGTACTGCATGTTACAAAACCAGGGCCTTAGGAATGAGTCTGACAGTCCTGAAAGTTCAAGGGCCGCATGAAGGGCACCCAGGAACCTCATTGAGCCCCAGCGGGGCAGGTGTTGCCCCCGCACCTCCTTCAAAGGGGCCAGCAGATTTTTCACTGAATCGTTAAAAGGATCACTCACTTCCGTGGATGGGCAAACAAAAATTGTAACCACACGTAAGTTGTTCCCACTCACATGGCAGAGACAATCCTAGAGTCTCCTCCTGACCCTTAAGTTGGTTACCCAAAAAAAGAGATTCGGGTCAGGTCAGACTCGGAGACTCCAGGTCCTTTCGCCGACAAAATCCAGGACCCCTTCAGAATCCAAGCTTGGAGGTTTTTGAAAGCTGCAAATGCCCCCTGATTCATACACCCGCATCGGGTCGCCTCAAGATCCTCGAAATCCCCCGTCCCCAATTAACCTGTGCCAAGCCAAATGTGGGCTGCAAAGGCTCCCTTCGGCCACAAAGGGACCCGCCAAAGGGTGGCGAAGTCTGGCAATCTTCCCAGAAAAAAAAACAGAAAAAGAACAAAAACAATTAAGTGAAAACTATCCACCACCAAAACCGGGTGGGGTCCCAGATGTTGCAGCAGGATTCCCAATTCAGGGGCAGACTTAAACCCAGGCTGATTTTCCAGAGAACCAAACTGGGTTTAGCTGTGGAGGGGGGGAGAAATGATCGGGCTGGTCAAAATGGAGTGTGCCAATCCGAGTTTCCAAAATCCTGGCAAACAGCAAAGGGGGCCAAATCCTTTCGTACCTCGAGGTAAGGATGCAGGATTTCATAACAGCAAAAATGAAGCCCTGCTTCAAGGCTACCCTTGTGTGGATTGTTTAAAAGGGAAATCAACAAAAAGGGAAGCCACTTTTTGTTGGGCGCACCCTACTTTAACTGGTTGGTGATTGGAACCGCCCGGTTGCTTGCTTGCTCGCCATGTTGGGGTAAAATAGGTGTCTATCATTCCAAAAGCAGAATTTGGGAATCCCCAAGTAAAGGACCTTCACGGCTTTCGCTCGTTCTCCCCCCCCCCCCCATCGGTGAGCTCGCGTCATACACAAGTTGGTTTATCTTTAATTAGCTTTTTCGCCGCCTGGAAAAAATGGGTCCAGCAGTGAAATTGATTCCCTTTAAAACCATCAAGGGAAAATACAAAATACCCTCCCCGACTAACATGGAAGCTCCCAGGACCCCTTGAGACGACCTGGCTCCATTCACAGGATCGGCCAATTGGGAGAGCTTCCGGCTATTCCAAGCGAGTGTGCCCTTAAAAAAACCCTTGGCAAGGGTGTCCACTCCAACCAAGCAAGGCTTACCCTGGGGTTCAACCCGCAGTAAAATAATGGTTGACTCCAACTTGGATGATGAAAATCCGGCAAATAAATAAACTGTTACATTAACCCAACCATTGTTTTCATGGTGGCAACTGAACCCCAAACCTTACCCTTCCTCCAACTAACATGGCATCTGTGGGGAGGTACCTGGAATAATTGATTTTCCTTTTGAAGAGAGCCCCTGCCAGTTGCCATGTTAGTAGGAAGGGTACCCAAATCTCTAGGATAACAAAAATGGTTTGATGAACCCAACCATTGTTTCCATGGTGGCAACTGAAACCCAGGGCTTTCCTGAAACTAACGGAATCACTTCCATTTGGCTCAGGCCCCAGGAAAAATGCGACCATATGTCCACTAGTGCTGAATTCCGCTTTAATCCCAACAAGGGGAGAAACATATTCCTTTCAGCAACTTACCCCTGAAAAAACTCCCTGCGCCCTGGGGAAGTCTTCATCTTTTACAGACAGAAAAAGCCCATGTTTCCCCCGAGAAGTTGAGAAAAGTTTTGTGTTTTTAAGAGGTAAGTCTTAGGCACCACCTAGAAAAACATGGTTTATGATGAGATTCCCGGGTCAGGCAAGCGGAGGGGAGGCAAAAATCGGCCCCAAACCCCCGCGTCACCGCGCGCTTGCCTCAGGGCCTCCTTCAGCTTGCTGACCTTGCCCTCCATGAGCTGCCCGGCGCGCTCCGCGTCGCCTCCGAATTGTTTGGAAGGAGAAAGACGCGCTCCGCGTCTCTTCAAGGCCGTGTGGAGAACGGGTGGGAAAAACCGCAGCAAAACAAGAGATATTCCAAACGAGGTGTCGTGGGAAGCAACCAGAAAAAGGGTTGCGTGATATGTTAAACGTCCAGTTGGTTAAGAACCCTGGTCTCTGCGTTTTGTCAGGCCGACCCTCTTTTGGCCGGCGTTGAAAGGGAAATCAAAAGGAACAAGAACAAATATGCCCTAAGAATACTAGGTCCTCTAGTAGAGAGGTTAGAAAAAGGGTACCCACTTCTTTCTTTTTTGTCTATTTTAGTTGGGGAGCCCTCCCCAAAAAAAAGGTAAAAGAGCACTACTGGGAGACCTACTAAAGGACGTGTGGAAAACGGACAGTTCGACAAACCGCAGCACCAAAACAAGAAGCACCAAACGAACACCAACGGAGCTTGGAACCAAAACCAAAGCGAGGGAAGGTGGTTGCAAAATTGACGAGAAGCGAGGCAATGAGAGGAAATACTGGAGTACCTAGAGAGCGCACGAGGAAGCCCTTCGAAGGCTTGCTTGAAGCTCACGCCACACAAAAACACAAACAAATTCATCCCAAAGGATATCATGGCAAGGTACAGTGGCCATGTACCACCCCTGGGCTCCAGCTTCCTGTAGCGCACTCCTCCCCTCCTATGGTCCGTTTTACGGATAAACGCCTCCTATGGTCCGCCCCCGACTCCTTTTGGAGGGCTGTTCTCAAAGGACATGCGGGGGACATCAGGTCTCTAAAGCAAGGAAGTTGCGATCTGTGACGCAAAAGCGATACCTATCACTACTTTATCACTTCCAAGGGGTTCCCCAAGAGTATCACGAAAAACCGGTTCCGCGGTTTCCATGGAAGCCATCGGACGGCCCCTTTTGGATGAGTATGATTCAGAACCGCGGAGCACACTCACTTGGAAGCATATCTCTTGCCTTCCCCAACATGCCCACCCATGAGCCTTCATACCACCAAGTACCACAAAGAGTTGATGGCTGTTGCCCCCTGCCCAAAGAGTTTGATTGGCTCAACTTGTTGCATGTGTTCAAAGTAAGTCAAGCATTAGATCCAACAGCATTCACGAAACAGGCGCCAAAACGGGCAAACCACAGCCCGGGGCCATAGCTGGCAAGATCTCGCAAGCGCACGCGCTTGCGGGCCGCGCGCAACCCGCGCAACCCGCGCAACCCGCGCAACCCGCGCCGCGCCTGCCAGCGTGATCAGGTGCGTGCGGAAGCGGTAGGGCTTGCCCACCTTGATAAAGTCCCCCATGTCTTGCAGGCGCTGCGCGTCCTAACGCGAGCTGGGCCAACTGAGCACATGCCAAGGCCCATTCCAAAGAAAAAAAAGGAAAAAACAGAAACAACTCGACGGAAGGAACCCTAAAGAAAGCCAACAGTTTGGGGGGTTCCATGCTGATCTGTAGGGGAGTATCCTTGAACAATTGTTTGACCAACCTCCTTTCGGTTGCCTTTCAAAGCCACAGCTGAACACAATCTGCATTGCATGAATTCCAAGCCCGAAATCGAGGACCTCAAGAAAAGGAAAGTCACCATTGGTAAGACCGTTTTGTCTGCAGGTGACCTCGCCATAAATACAACAAAAACTGAAGCTTCAATCACGATGTTCGCGAAAGGCACTGTTTGACCCACCTTCGAGGGGAAGCAGGAGCAAGCGAAAAGCATTGGACACTACACGGGGTCCAACTTGACTCGGTTGCTTTCTGCTCCCCTGCTAAAAGTTCAACTTTCAGTGGTTTAGTGGAAAACCCATTAGTTGGCAAAAAGTTAAAGTCCTAACAGCCAAGCAAAATGCACCAAAGTTGATTTGGGTCTCACAATAGGGGACTTCTTTTGGGATGGTAGAAGGAAACCAGAAGGATACCAACTAGCTGCAGGGGTCCCAACTTTTCAGAAACGCGCATGTCCTGGCCCTGGACATGGGAAACCAAAGAACCCAATTCACCCAACACTACGCTTCTGCTTTGGTTTGGCGAGACCTCCAACACAAGTAACCAGCCAACCCAAAAGTGTCTGGCCAAAGCAAGCCACCAAGCCGTTTTGCCACGGAAATGGCCACCAAACCCAAAAGTGACTAAAGTCCAACTCAGGGAGTGGGGGGGATTGGCCATTTTGAAGGTTGGACCAGCCCTGCCGTACTGGAGCCTTTGCGGAAAGAGGGCCGAGCCCTGAGACCCTGAGACCTAGAAAGGCTCAAACGGCTTGACCTTCCCTCAGCACCTCAGTGACCAAGGCAGGACTCCCCCCCGCATACCCCGCACACGAAGCGAGCCATGAAACCATCCGACAAACAAAACAAACATCTATAGGACATTATTATTTTTGTTGCTCTCTCGGAGCCAAAGCCAAGGACGGTACACGCGCCTTCGCAAGGGTTGCGGACATCGCGGGAAGGTTGAAAGTCAGTGCTGAACAGACTGGACAGGTGCCTTCTGAACTGCCTAAGGAGCCCAGTTTACAGGTGAGTCGGTACCAACATGAACCCAAAACTTATGGCAAAGAGTTCAGGCGGCACCCATCATTTCGAGTGACTGTCCCTTGACGTGGCCGCGGGGAACTTGGGATCTTAGGGGTTGATCCCCCCATTCTTTTCTTTTCCACCATCGTTCTGTTCAAAAACCGGATCCGTTTTCCCTTGGTTTCTGGGGGTTTCTAAAAGATCCGTTCTTTCCAAAAACCGGTCGTTTTTTTCTCCTCCTGGGTTTCGAAGGAGGGTTTCTAGAAAGACTTGGATCCCTGGAAAGAATGGGGGAAGGTACCCCTAGAATCTTCGCCCCTCCTCGGAGATTCTCATCAGCAGGCGGTTGATCTCCGCCGGGTTCGACACCAGCTGGTGCGCCCTAGCGGCCTTGGGCTCGAAGAAATAGGTGTCCAATTTTAGGTTGGAAATCATCAGTCGCTTCTAGTGGGCTAAATGGAAACCCAATCACTAAACCCACTGAAAAGATCCAAAACGCGAAGTTGGACCATAGGGGAAATGGACACCGCCACTAACATAGGCGTCTTTTTTAGGGGATGCCCCTGGTAGATGACTCTAAACCACCAGGTAAACCAGGAATCGAAACACAGCGAATTTTCGACCAAAACAACCACAAAGGACGCCTATGCTTGAAGGGCCTTTCTGGTGTGCGGTTTTTTGAGTCCACACGGACTCACAGCTTCCCTGCAGTTGGTGCTAGGTCCTTGGGTAGAGAGGTTAGAATAGGGGTACCATTTTTTCTGCAGTCTATTTTAGTCGGGGAACCCTCCCAACCAAAAAAAAATGGTAACAGGGCACCTAGCTGGGGGACCTAGGGTGGTTTGGCTTGAATGTTTAGGGATAGCTTCCCGTATACCTTCAAGAACCAGCAGTTCGCCCAAAGGATCCAAACCGGCGGTAGTTGCCAAGCGGCCCCCCCCTATTGGGGGGCCGATTCCCCGATCCTGAGATCGACGAGTAATGCCGCTTTTGAGGGGCCAGTAGAGTTCATGCTGGTTGCCCTTGGTTGTTTGCTTTTGGGGGGGGGGGGAGAGGAGAACCATGGGTCACATGCGGTATGCGTTCTCTGATCCAAAATAGTTGTGATCTTCCCTAAAATGTGAAATCCCTTTGTCCCTTTGTTCAACTCCTTTTAGGGGAAGGGTTGTTTCAACTCAACGAACCAAACAAGAATGCTCTTTGTTGCCACGCACATTTACCGGGCGGCTGAGCTGAATTGGCGGTTTGGATTGGTGTGGGTCCTGGCACTCCTAGTCCTGGCGGGCACATGGGACACCACCCCAGAACACCAAACCACCAAAACGGAAGCTGAAAACAGGCTGGGTTTTCCAGTTGAGAGGTTAGAATAAGGGTACCAACTGTTTTCTGTCTATTTTAGTAGGGGAAACCCTCCCCCCCGAAAAAGGGTGAGAAAGGGCACCTAGCTGAGAGAAGTCCTGCTACCAAGCAGAACTTCCCAACTAAGGAGCAAGCGAAGACGCAGAGCTTTGAAAGGAACCGTCTGTCAGAAGGGGCTCTTAGCTTTCTGAGGGGCAGCAAACTAGCCAATGCTTGAAAGTACGTGGCACCATTCCCAGTAGAGGCGGGAGAGGATGACTAAACTGCACAATCTGCTTTCACCCAGCTGTAAACCAAGATGCCAACAATAAAGAAATCCGGTCCTACCCCATGCAGCGTCCAACTCCCCATACGCCCTGCAACCCCTTTTGGAGGAATACCCATGTTCGGGGAAATGCAGGAAAGTCAGAGGGAGAAACGTTAGAAAGGTGAGCTAAGTCTAAACATGTTGCCAATTTAAAGAACTTCCCGGTGGATGGGGTAGATTTCTGAGGGTTCTCACAACGGTTTCTTCGCTAGGTCCTCCTCTTCTTTCGGTTTTGTCTGTTTTAGTAGGGGAGCCCTCCTCCAAAAAAGAGTAAAAGGGCACTACTGGGGGTTAGTGAGGGACCCCCCCCCCCCCCCCGAAAGTCCCGGACTCCGCCCGGACGTCCGCCCAAGGCCAAAGCCTTTCGGTCTGAGACCGGCGCGGCGCTCGCCGCGTTGCGGAACCGGAACCGCGCCTTGAAGTCGATGGCCTTCAGCGGTGCCGCCCGCCGACCACTCTGAACCGAAAAAGCGCTGAAGGTATATCTTGGTTGACGTCGGAAGGGGGGCAAAAATCTGAATTCTAGCAGTCAAGTTGGGATTTCCCATTAAACCACAACAAGCAAAATGTAAAATGTGCCCCAACAACAACCATGATATGCCATCCACCCTAGCTTGAGAACCTCCCCCAATTCCAGATTGAAGGGGGTGGGCGGGGGGCCGGGGGGGGGGGTCATCTGGGTGAATTATAATATTTCACAAACCTGCAATAAGGTGGTTGGGGGGGAGTTATTCCCCACATAAACCACTATTTGGGGTGAGGTCGTGTGAGGTCGCAAAAATTCGCCCAAATGCCATCCCCCCTATTTTGAGGGGCTCCCCCAATTCCATATTGAAGGGGGTGGGGAGTATGCCCATATATGAACCCCTAGAATGACCCCCTAATTTATGGGGCAATCAACCGTGAATTAGTGGCTTAATTGTGGGAAATCAGCCCCCAAATGGTCCAAAATGGCCATGGGTTCATATATGGAGCTATACAATGAGCCTTTGCATAAACTCCACTTAGTGGGATTATCACTTAGGGCACTTATGAGCTGGAAGCCTGGACTGCACAAAAAGCAAGTTGACGCTGATCTAAGCAGAACCCGTCCTTTTCATTTGGGAGTGTTGTTTTCCAAAAGTGATCTGAATCTGAATCCAACCTCTGAAAGGGGACACCCCCTCGATCAAAATCAACCCACTAGTGTCGACCCCAGATTCCTAAACCCAAACCAGGCTGCAAATCCCTAGGCAAATCAACCAGAGCCTTCCTAGATCTGGGGTTCCCGGAAAAATCCGCATTTTTTTTTACCAATGCCAAAAGCTGACTTAAGAATTGGATCCCCAAGCAACAGACCTCCACGACGTCCGCTCGTTTCCCCCGAATCGGTGAGCTCGCGTCACGGCAAAGAAGTGAATCCCTTTTCAGGTGCTTCCCTCCAAATTCCTCGGCCATCTACCCCCAAATAGCTTTTGAAGAAGTTAAATCCCTTTTCAGGTGAACCACCTCCAAATAGCTTTTCCTCGGCCATCTACCTTTCTCGAAGGAATGGCCCCCTGTCCGGACAAATCTGGCCTCCCAGAAGTCACCCCTAAATCCCCTCCCCCGGCCTTGGCCCCGATCTCCACCAGCTGGGCCTTTGAGGCGTCCGTCTCCATGTCCACCCGCCTCGGGTTTCCGCTCTCGCGCGGTTTTGGCCTGGGGGCCTCGGGCCTGGGAGGTTAGAAATAAGTTGGTACCCACTTTCTGTTTTTTTCTTTTTCGGTTTTGTCTATTTTCGTAGGGGAACCCTCCCCCCAAAAAGGGGTGAGAAAGGGCACTACTGACCTAGTTAAGGATTTCAGGACTTGGGGGTTCTCCCTCCATCCGAATCAAAATGCCGTCATTGTCCCAAAGTAAAGATTCGGGTCATGATCCCCATGTTTAAAGGGTCAGAAGGAGACTCCTGCCTTTTTGTGTAGCTGTTTGTTTTTTCTAATGGAAAACCAACGGGAAAACGCACCACGAGGAGGAAAACCCGCCAAAATTTTGAGGGGGGGTCACTCAAAAAAGACCAACCCATCCCTGCGATCGCAAGCGAAACCCATGAAGTAAGCCTCCCCGCCCAAATGGTGAGCAGGCGGCTTCCGAACTCGAAATAGATCCAATGAGCGGGGCAAAGAAACAACGATCGGCCCTGCGCTCATGTATGTATGTGTTTTTTGCTGTTTCCGACACTTTTCCAAGTTGGGGAGCACTTTCCTTGTAACTTTGGGCACGCCAAGGCACTTCAGCACGTCGACCACCTGACACACAGTTCGCATCGAACCGAAACCACCAAGTGCGGCCCCCCAGTGGATCTTTGTGGGGAAGGGCCTGCGAACCAACAACGTTTTAGGCGGCGTCGAACTAAGCGACTTGCTTTTAGTACGTCAAGCGCGCCCTTGTTGGGTGGTTGATTTGAGGCGGCCCCTCTCCCCACCCCAAAAAAATGATAGGCCACCAAAAGAAAGGGAGGGAGGTTAAGCCCTGCCCCCCCCCAAAAAAATAAAAATAATATGAAAGAATATGAAAGGCCACCCAAAAGAAAGGCCACGGGTGGCTAAGCCCTTTGTGGCAACTGGAAGCTCCCTCTCAGCCTTCTAAACACACTGACCCGAAAGCTCCCGCAGAAAGGGATCAGAAACGGATCCTTTCTGGTCAGAAGGGAGGTGTCTCGCTCAAAGAAAAAGAATAAAAAAAAGCCCGGAGAAACCAATGGGCACATGGTGATCGCCAGAATTCGTTTCCTCCCTCCCCCAATATCTTTTTTCAGGGGGTGAGGATATACCAACCTTTGACCCATTTGGAGTTGGTAAATGGGGAGAGAGAGAGAGAGATACATATATATATATATATATATATAACCTACACAGATTGTCTGGATACTGCCCTTTGGCCTGGGTATACTGGTCAAGGTAGCCAAAACTTGTCAAAACCTTGATGCGGCGAGGTGGGGGTCTATTTTGGCAACATGTATTCACCAAAACCTCTAAGTCTATTTTGAGCCAACCCCCCACCCCCCACCCCCCAGAAAAACAAGAGATTGTTTTCCTCTTGGCTTGCCTTCAAAACCACCATCAAAAAGGACCCTCAAACAGAAACGCACCCACGTCCTTTGCCAACTACTTTGCACATTTGGAGTCAAAAGGCAAACCCTGCCAACAAAAACCGATTCCCGCCTGCTTTGCTTTGCCCAGCGTCTCGTTCAAGACCTGGGCAGATCTTTGACATATCAGTCAAGGAAGCTTCAAAAAAAAAAAAAACACTCCTCCAATCTGCAAGTCTTATGATATTCTTTCAAAAACGGAATTAAGGGATCCCCAAGTAATGAATCGTTGTCATGGTGAATTCGTTATGCCGCCGAATCGGTGAGCTCGCTTTCAAATTGGCTCCAGTATGAATTTAGCCTTTGAACCAACATGAGTGACCTGCCCTTGTTTTCCTTGTAGTTGTATTCAACCATTGGCTTACCTCACAGAACAAATTTGTCCCCCCCCTTTTCCGGAACTCGCAACATCAGATTGCTTATACTTGTCTATGCATGCATACACCTTACAGCCCTTGGCATAGCTAAAAAACACCCGCCTCCGTCTCTTGCAGCCCCCCAAAACCTGAAAACAATAGCAAAACACACCAAAAAACGACATAGAAACAAGGACACTTGATCCAAGCACTGTGGTTTGCAGATGTTGCAGCAACTCGGTTGACGTTGGAAGGGGAGCAAACATCTAAATTTTGGCAGTTCAGTGAGGGGTTCCCACTAAACCACAATAAGCAAAAATGTGAAATGTTTCCCCAACAGCAACCATGACAAGGGGTTGTTTTTCGGCGCAGGCGACAAAATTAACACAGCGCGCCTCCTCCTTCTCCGCCTTCTCCTCTTCGGCTGCAGGGTCCTCGTCGGCATCCGCCTGGGCGTTTGTTCGAAGGAACTCTTGGATTTGCACCTCCAAGACCTTCCCCTTCACTTGGTTGCTGTTGACCCCCCCTGCACAAAGTTTAATTTGTTGGGGGGTTTAGTGGAAAGCGCATTATTTTCCCAAAAAGTTAAAGTCTAAAGATCCAACGCAATAGCAGTCAAGTTCAAACTTCAACAGGGATCCTTACATTATACACCTGAACATTGCCTTGTAAATGGTGGTTTCCTTTTTTGTGGAAAACGCCATGTTTCAAATGGGCAAAATGTATCCTTTAAGGAGCCCTGTTCAAACATCGCACTCCAAGGAAACTCTCAAACTTGACCAGAAGGGTATGTTTCAATACAGTTTGCGAGCGACGCACACTGCGGTCAACTGCTGCTCTGGAATTTCGAACTGGCAGGAGGGGAACGTATGGCACCTCAAAAGCAGAAGGAAGTCAGCTCACCTTTTTTTGGGCTGTTCTCCTAGGTCCTCCAGTAGAGAGGTTACAATAAGGGTACCCCTTTTTTTTCTCTGTGGTCTATTTTAGTAGGGGAGCCCTCCCCCAAAACAAGTGTAAAAGAGCACTACTGGGAGGGCTAGTCTCTGTTCTTGAGGGTACCCTTTTGGAGGGTTGTTTCACAGGGAAACCACATTTTGGGATTCGCCATTGGGAAGCAAGCCCATTTTGCAGCCATGAGCAAATTGCGCAAATGAATTGTACACTACAACCCCTTCCCAACTTTGTACCCTGCTCCATCATTTCCTCCCAAAAGCAACGAACGCCAAAGCGCCCTCTTCCTGTCTTCATGAGTGGACTGGCCAAACAGGTCTTCACAAAAAGGCTAAAGTGTATGAACTCAGGGACGGAGCTTCCCGGAAATCATGGAAGTGGACAGGGGGTCTTTGAAGACGTCAGTCGCTCGGTTGGCTTGGGCCCCTCAAAAAATGGATGTATGTCTCAGCGGGCTTTCCTTTGAACAGCCAAAAGTCGTTTTGAGCAATCCCCCGCGCTGGACCCCCCCAAGCTAAAGCTCCGGGAAAGGTCGTCAACCCCCCCCCGGTTTGAATCAGGCCCCAATCCCAATAGGGGCGGCATCTTGCGACTCATGGCATCGGTCTATTCAAAACCTTTTCTCTAAAGATTCCATACTGTGGATGGGCGAAATCTGTCTGCACCACCTAATTGAAACCCTGAAACAATTCCCCTGCAAATACCAAGAAACACTGGTTTTAATCATGGTTTCATTCCGAGGTGCGAAATGGATTTTGCAACCATACACGGTATGATTCCACCGTAGGCGGGCTGACGCTTACCCAAACTCAACACATCCCTCCCTTGGGGGTGCGGGCCGGCCTGATTTCATTCCTCTATAGTCTTCCCATGAAAAAAACAAGAAATTAGAAGTAGATGGAAATCCAGCCTCCTCCCAATTCCATTTTTAAGGGAGTAGGGATCAACCCCCGGACACTTGGCACAGGACATCGTAGTCAGCAGGTGGGCCCTGGCAACTCGAAGCTGCCGGGCGGCGCTGGTCAAGGTGACACAAAACGGGCTTCCTATGCTAGGTCCTCCAGTAGAGGGGTGAGAATACGGGCACCCTTTTTTTTCTATAATCTATTGTAGTAGGGGAGCCCTCCCCCAAAAAAGAGTAAAAGGGCACTACTGGGAGACCTAGCATTTGTCCAACCCAAAATCATCACCCCAAGAGGAAACTAAGCGGGCTGAAAAGAGAGACATGGGGACCCCTGTCCATGCACACTACTTTAGAACTTGCCCACCTGCAGTACCCCCCTATAGATCGACCTGGAACCCCTAAAACCAGCATTTGTAGAAGAAACTCCTTTTCGGGGACCCTCTTTTTGGGTTCGACGTTAATCTGTAGGGGGGAATCTGCATGAGGAATGCTCAAGTAAGGGCTCACCATGGGTCACACCCGGATCAGTGAGCTCACTATCAGTGCCACCCCAAGTGAACCCGAAGAGGGGCTTCCTCATGTGACCAGTGAAACTTGCTCGCAGGGTCCCGGAAGGTTAGATTTCAGCCCGTTAACAATTCACCTGAGCTGACTTGGAGAGTTTTCCTTGCAAAGCATGTCTTTGATGTATCCTTCAAGGAACGCGGTTGTCTATTGTTTTTGGAGGAATATGTGGTCCGAGTCTGCTCCCTTCTACCCTCAGTGTGGGCAAATATTTCTGCGGGCGTTCCTCACGGGGGATGTTGTCCCTAGGGCATGTGTGCTATCTGAACCCCCTTAGTTTGAATGACAACCCAAGCAAGTGGTTCAGTTCAAGACAACTACATTGTAGTAAGCTTAAAGCTAAAGTCATTGGAGCGAGGTGGGACATGGCGACTTTCTACTCAGGTATGGATTTCCACTTCCAGGCACTTTGTGAGCATTTAAGCTAAAAAGGGCTGGTTGTCATACAAGGAAAGGTCAAAGGGAAACAGGCAGACAAAAAAGGGGTTTGCTTGACCAATGCACTCTGGGAGGTCCTTCACAACTCTCAGTTGCGCAACTGAACCGGAAAAATCAAAGGCTGAACTTGGTTGCTTTCTGCTCCCCTGCTAAAAGTTTAACTTTTAGTGGTTTAATGGAAAACCCATGAGTTGGCAAAAAGTTAAAGTCCTAACAGCCAAGCAAAATGCAACAAAGTAACAGCTTGGGGCCATGACTACAAAAAATGGGAACAACCAAAGCTTTGGGCAACTGAGAACCGGATCCCGCTTTCAAAGGGGCCTTCATGCGGGCTCGCTTTGCAATTGTTGGCGAGCTCGAAATCCAAAGAAAAAAAAGGCGAGCAAATGACTCAACAACCACCAAAATGGCGAGCTGGATATTCTTGGCAGGAGGTTTTGGTGAGGGGCTTGCATTGAAAACAACGTTTCAGGACTTGGCAACGGAAAATAAGGCCAGGTTCCCAAAGAAGCATTGCAGCTGGTAAAGATCCAAACCAAACCCAGTGGACCCATTTACCTGCATAGTAGGTAACCAAGAGAACCACCCTTCAAAAAACCAAAACGGAAAATCGCCGGTTGCCTACCTGCCTTCAGAACTCAGATCCCCCGCGAAAGGTTTAACTTTCAGTGGGTTGAATGGAATTCCCCGCTAAACGCTACAAAGCTAAAAGGCAAAAAAGCTTCGGAACCGGATGGCTGGGAGCCACCAAGTAAAACTGACTGGGAAATTCAAGAGGACGGCTGGCCCTATACAAACGCACGCCTCTCCTTCTCTCTCTCCTTTTAGACAAACTCCCAAAAAAAGAACCACACCCATTTCTAGGGTTGCTCCATTCAACGAAACCTAGGGCTCGCCTTGGCAGCTTTCTGGATTTGGCCATGGGTTAAAATTTCGTTTTTCTAGTCAGCATCCCAATCCCCACTAAAATAGACTAAAACAGGTGGTGCACCTACACCAAAAAATGGTATCCCAGTGGTTTCAGCCATTTCGGATCCCTGGAAAGCCCCCCCCACAGTCAATCCTGCCTAAAGTTGCCAACACCTTCTCTCGCGAGAGCCAAACTAGGCCTGCCCGGGGTCCGCCCCGTAGCCCTGGTCATAGCCGCCCTGGTCATAGGCCTCCCACACATAGGTGTCCTTTTTGGGGGAAATAGATGGGTTTCCCTGGTAGGTGACTCTAAACCACCAGAAATCGCCACCTATTTTTCAACCAAATCAGCCAAAAAGGACACCTACACCTCCCACACTTGCGGAGCCCAAAGCCAAGCTTCGCGGGGCGGGGATCCTTACGCCTTACGGGCTTTGGGAGGGAGGGGAGGGAGTCCAAAATGTGAACCTCGCTCCCCAGGCCCCATGAGACGCCAGTTCTGGTCTGTAGTTTTGGGGGGTGTTTGAAGGGTGGGGGGTTTGGGGATCCCCTTTGCCTTTATCAGTTCTGAAGAACTGAAAAGGGCAACACCAATGAACGCGAACACCGCGGGCCCAACATCAACGACCATTGCGCATCCAAATGTGCAACCGCTGACATGAGAGGCACATGTGGTGCCACTGGACTACTCTAGGACGTGTTCTGTAAACGAGCGGTTTTTGTTAAACGGGTCGCTCAAATCTAAAAAATGTGAATCCGTCTTGGGACGTACTATTAGTACAAGAGAGAAACACTATTATCCGGCATAATTCAGGACTAGTGATTCGGGATCAATTTTGAACGACCCACGTTACCTTAGTTGCAACATGATTCAAATCAAACAAACAAACAAACAAACAAACAAGCAAGCAAGCAAGCAAGGAAGCAAACAAACAAACAAACAAACAAACAAACAAACAAACAACCAAACAAACAAACAAACAAACAAACAGCGGCAAATCATTTATTCAAGTCGCCAAACAAGTTTTGCGGCAGCAGGCCTCTTGAGGTGGTACTTCGTTCTTCTGTTTTTTTTTTGGGGGGAAGCCAACCAGAAAAACGCCGTTTTGTTAAGGTTCCCTCCCCCCAATTCTTGACACACACACACACACACGCACAAACCTAGACCTGAAATAATTTGAATTCCTATGAAAGGAAGCTTCCCTGGTGAGATCGCAAATCTGTGAGGTCGCATCCATTTCCTCAAAACGTCAGGCTACTGATTTAGTGGTTGGTAATTGTGGGTATAACCCACGATACAGTCCCCAGGCGGGTTGTAACCAGCGTTACTTATCACCTAAGCATGCCTCAGGTGAGGAAACCAGCCCCTTTGCCCTTCCAAACCAAAAGGAGGCCAGCTTGAACAACACATGTGTCAATAAATCATTGGTCCAAAAAGTCCAAACTCTTTGCTATCAAACAAAAGGGAAAGACACAGCCACATGCACTTCCCAGAAAGTATCAAGTCCAACTCACAAAAGTGAACTCAATCAGATGAAAACCACAAGCTTGTATTCCGGTCAGGTAACCCTTGGCTGGGGCTTTCTTGGCATAGACAAACAAGCCAAAGTTTTCTCACTCTGTTCCATACTGTCGATGGACGAAATCCATTTTGCACCAACGGAATGATTCGATTCCCCAATACCAACAAACCTCATGGTCTCATTCCCATGGCTTCATTGCGTGGTGCGAGAAGGGGATTTTGTCCATCCACGGAAGGCCGTCTATCAAAGACCTCGCTGAGAGGATTTTCCTTTTCGCTTTGGCGGGTCCCGCTGCTTTCCTGTCCTGTCGGCTTCCTTTTCCTTGCACTGCCTTGCTTTGCTCCCCAATATTTGCCGCCAAAAACACGGTGTTTCCAGCGTTTTCGCAATTAGGACGTCCAAAAACACAGAGTTTTTTCCAGATTTTCGGCAGAAGGAGGCAGGAACCCCAAACCAGCAAAGAGCCGGCAGAGGGGAATCGAGACCAAGGGACACTCAACTTTCATGGGCCAAAAAGGTGAGGTTCAAAATCGCCCAAATGGGGGGTGTGGGCTGTAGGGCCTGCGGGCCGATCTCCCCCGCCCTGACGCTCCTGAACCTTCCAATGCAAGACCCACACCCTCCATTGGACACTTTTCTGGGTGGTTTTGGGGTCTCAAAACCTGGCAGTTTGAGGCCCAACATACATCGGGGGCCGATCCCCGATGTTCGGTGAACGGAAAAAAACCGGCGCCTGGAAGGACACCGAGCGCGGCTTGAAAGAAGCGTCCCAGGAAGCCTTGGAGGAGCACGAGCTGGGCCTCGGTCGCTCGTAGAAAATTCGAGATCCTTCTCTTCGAAACATGGGCCAAATCCTGGAGCATAGCTGAAGGGTGAAGAGAATGGGGAATCAAATCTCAGAAAAAAATGCGAAGCTCGGTCCCAGACGAATAATGTGGACCTCACCAGTGGAGAGCTTAGAATAAGGGTACCGTTTCTTTTTCTGTAGTCTATTTCAGTAGGGAAAGCCTTTTTTTCAAAAAAAAAAGGTAAAAGGGCACCCAGTCTACTTTCCTAGGGGGGTGCCCCTTGTTCCACAGTAGTGGGGCATCAGACCACTATTGGAGGGGAACACCCCCCTGTTCATAAACTGAGGTTGATTATATTAGGCCGGCTTGCCCCTTGATGGCTTCGTTGGCCGGATTGGACGCTTGGCTTCAGGTACCTTCCCCTGGCTTCACAAGGCAGTTCGTTCTCAGGGGATGAGGGAAGGACCCTCTTCAACAGACCCCCTGGCTTCATTCCCAACATCCTGGGGCATTCCCTGAGCCCCAGCAAGTCTTACCTTGAGAAAGGGGAGGGGGTTGCATGGATGGCGCCAAGGTGGGGCAAACTTGGCTTCAACCGGCAGGCAGGTCTGGTTGAAAGGGGGCAATCAATTTGGGGGGCCCGATCTGCAGGAAACACCCCACGCGGCATAGAGAACACATGGCAACGACGGCAAACCGGACATTGCCGTTCCGTTCTTGTGCCCCACCTTCTGCCTACCAAAAACAGAAACAAACACCCAAACCACGTCTGTCACATTGGCGTCAGGGTGTCGTCAAAGCCCTACTCCAGCGAACCAAACTTTCGAAAGCCCGATCAAAGTGCCGCGCTTCCAGCTGGAGTGGCAGAACCTGCCACGGGGGAAGAAGAAAAAAGGGAGCTCCAAAAGCCGAAGCTGGTTGGTGACCTTGGCAATGACTACTGAGCGGATGGTCCACGTATCTTTGGTGGTTGAAAGCCGAGCTCCAGAGACTGGCAGATTTGAGAGGAATTAGAATAACTGGGTTGATGTAAGGACCCCCCTGCAAAAAGTGAGTCACTTTTTGGGGGTTTAGTGGAAAGTCTAAAGATCCAACCCAATAGCAGTCAAGATAAGGGCGCAAGCCGAAAATGGCCGATGTGGCTTGTGGTGCTTTTGCGTAGCTGCGGCTAGTACGCCCTTGGGATGGTTTTCTGACCTGCTTGCACCTGGTGGGATCATCCGTTCGAGCTACAGCATGGCACCAGCTATGTAGGCCTTCGCCAGCTTCCGTTTGGCTAGGGCGGTTTTCTTAGCTGCCGAGTTTGAAATGGAATCACTGGGCATGGCTTTACTTGGGGTAGCTGCGGCTAGTGCCCCAAAAAGGACACCTGGAGTTGGAGAAATTTCCCCTCAAGTGAGGGATATCCTAGTTTGCAAGATGAGTGTTTCTCAGTCCCTGAAATGCAAGGGTTTTTTGTTTGGCTGCGGTTGCCTTATGCCGCACCCAAAGAAGAAGGTCCAGCATTTTGAGAAACTGCTTGCCCACAACATGGGAGGTTTGCTTTTCTTGGCTTCCCTGTCAATCAAAAGGTCGAAAGCTCGGCTTTTCCACTTTGAGAAAAAATCACCTGAGATCCGGACAAAGCAAAATAAGTGTGACTCGAAATTGCTGCTCAAATGAAAGTAGAAAGGTCAACTTCCCTCTGGCTGCAAGAAAGCTGGAGGCCGAGGGTTTTTGCGTCAACCTGCAAAAAATGTGTTGCGTCAAACCGCGAAAAAAAGCAAAAACCGCGAAGGTAAGGGGGCAAAGCACTCGGCAACCATGGTCACAACCATGGTCATAACTCATAACCGTGTGGGGGGGGGGGGCTTACAGGCATTGAACTTGTGCGTAAGTTGTAAGTTGTAGCTATGGTCAAACCAGGTTCGCAAGCCACCTCTCAAGTAATTCCTCGATGGCTTTCTGCTCCCCTGCAGAAGTGACTCACTTTTAGTGGTGCATTTGGAAAACCCATTAGTTCGCAAAAAGCTATCCAGTCCTAGCATCCGTTAATGCACGTCTGCCAAGTAACTCCTCGCTGCATCTGTAACCATAGCCAGGTTCGCAAACCGATTCCCCTGGCCCTTCCGGACGTCACGCGAGCTTCGCCTCCAAGACTCTGCTTCAGGTGCCTCGGCCAGCCTCGGCAAAAAAAAAGCCAGCATTTCCTTGGACACCTCTAGGCTTGGTTGACGTTGGAAGGGGAGCAAAAGTTTAAAAATTTTGGCAAGTGGGGATTTCCCCACTAAACCACAATAAGCAAAAATGCAAAATGTTTCCCAACAACAACCATGTACTGCTTGATTCCTTTTCCATTCTTTTAGGCCATCGTTTCTTTCAAAAACCGATCGCAATTTCCCAAAGAATGGAACATTTTACCCCTAGAAAACCTCCTTTGACACAAGCCCCCTGTGCTAGCCTTCCTCCCAGTAACATGGCATTTGTGGAAGGGTACCTGGAAAATATGGTTCCTCTTGAAGGTACCCTTTGTTAGGTGTCATGTTACTGAGAGGGAGGGTAGTTTTTCATGGGCAACCCACAGGTCTGGGAGTTTCACACATACCGGCACCGCTCAAGCCAATTGGGGGACTGATTCACTGGGGTTCACCACTTACGGGTGTAGGCTATCCTCTCTCGACTCATAGAACCAGACGATCAGGGAAGCTTTGGAAGACTCCAAAACCTTCATGGGAAGCCCCCTATCACTTCCGTGACTGTTGGAAAGAGATTAGTCTTCCATTTGGTTAAGGCCCCAGCAAAAAATAGATACAACAAATTCCCAGTAGTGACGAATTCCTTTTAAAACCAGCAAGGGAAAATAAAGAAGATTCCGTTCAGATATAGCTGGCGGGAAACCACACCTTTTCAAAATCTGACTTTAACCTCCACGGTCGTACATGAGCCGCAACCAAAACCCGACATTAAAATGGTCTACCCAGAACCATGTACAGAATTCAGAAGGCGGATGTCCGCAGCTATTTAGAGATTGTCCCTTACTCACTTGCTGAGTGGATGGCCCAAAAAAGTAACCAAACTTTATATTTACCACTAAAATGGTCCAACCCCAAAACGTTGTTCAAGTTCATGAACTCAGGAAGTGGGCTTTCACTAACCTTCATTCGGTTGATTGTGGCTCACGGGTTCTTGTTTCGTCCATTCCCGGGGCCCCGGCCGTGCGGCCTCCAAGAGTCTCATGTTTCACATGGCCGGTCCGAAGCGCTCCGGACGGCTTCGGCGCACTCCGGTGGGGGACGGCTTCGGCGGTTGAGGGGAGTGCGGAGTGCGGAGTGCTGAGGGGCGAGGACAGCACCCCATTTGGCTTTGAGTTGCTCCATCTTTGGTTTCTTCTGCTGGATGTTTGGATTCTTCTGTTCCACTGGCATCTTCTGTTTCTTCGTTTGCTTGTTGGTTGGTCTGGCTGGCTGCTTGGTTTGCTTGGCAAGTTGGCGCTAGGAGCCCAAAACGCGGGCTCACACCCAACTGAAGCAGCAGGCTGAAGTGAAGCAGCAGGCTGAAGCACCAAGCTGAGCTTTCCGGCCAAGTTTGACACAACGTGTGCAAACAATTTAGTAAGTAGGTTACAACTAGGGTAGCTGTGGTTGGCGCCCTTATAACGTGTATACATACATATATAAATACATGTGTGTGGCTCTTGCCTTCTTGCTAAGTCGGCTGAACACCCCAGTACCCCGAACCCACCGAAAAACAGAACAAACGGACATTCCGTCGAACGCATTTGGGCATTGACAAAGTGGCAGTGCCAACACGCGGATCATGCTCAACATCAAGTATATAATCTCGGTTGCGAAATCTGCTCCCCTGCAAAAAGTGACTAACTTTTAGGGGTTTAGTGGAAAACCCATTAGTTGGCAAAAAGTTAAAGTCCTAACAGCCCTTGGCAAAATGCACCAAAGTAAGGGAAACACCAATGAACAAGTATCCTGGGTGAATTATTTCACCTGCCTGAAATTGGGTGGTTGGGGGGGCCATTCCCCACATAAACCACCATTTGGGGTGAGGTCAGCTTGCCAAAGGTATAGCTAGTTTGCCAGGTGAATAAATTCACCTTCAAGTGAACCACCAGGACTCGGCGTCCAACTGATTCTGAACAACGCGCGTGTCACATTTCGTTGGCATCAGTGGCTCCCGTGTCCTGCTTCTGGCCAAGCAGTCAAAACACAAACAACCAACAACCCTTGCCATTTCAGGAGCTAGTTTTTGGAAACTAGCAAAAAAAAACGACCATCGTTCAGCCCAATAGCCCTAAAATGGATACCGGATGAACCGATGGCACCAGGGATTGGTGAAGCAACGCTTCACCCAACACTGGATAGAAACCAAAATTCCAAAGCGCCTGGCGCAGATCATAGCCGCTCAATGAGAACCCTGTTCCAAAAACAAAAAAAAGACCTCCTCAAGGTGAAGCACCCCCAGTGAAACGGGAGTGCCCCCCTCAACCAATCAGGAACTTTACAAATCCGGGGCGAAAATCCCCCCCGATCCTGCGGGGAATCGGAGCGGAAGCTGAAAAAACCTCGGCACCTGATCCGAGTCTGGTGCCTGGCGGCTGGGATCTGCGGCCATCCCCATTTGGCTTAGGAAGTGGGCAGCAAATCCCCCCAAAATTCCGCCCATTTTGCTTAAGCCGCCTCGGAAAGGAACATCTTCCCAGTCAACTCGATTCCCTTAAGGCCACATACGACAAATGGCAGCCACCAATCCAAACCAACCAAGAAATGCATGACTCCCCCAACCTGAGGTGCTCATTTTGCGACTGAGTCACGGCGAGGCAAGAGACGGCAAGAGACCCGCGAGTCTGTCCCGGGCTCTTTCGGTCCTCGGCGACTCGGGCTGAGCCGAAAAAATTGTCCGCGCCTGGGTTTTCGAGCGTGCCAGGAAGAACTTACCACCCAAAACCATGCGGTCTTGGGCTTGTTGTTGCTGAAGGATGGTTGAAAAGGGGGGCACACAGTTTTTGTGCGGAAAGTCCGGGGGGAGAAAGAAAGGAGCGGGGAGCGAGGCAAGGACAAAGCAAATCCCCCATCCACGAGCCAAGATCAGCCCAGGTCATCTCTTGGCGTTCGCTGCTCCCAACAGAAAGCAAAGCCCGAGGAAACAACTGACAAAGAATGACTCCTTCCTTCGTAGGCACCAGGGCTCCACCTGGAAAGGCACAAACGCCCTTGAAGGTGTCTAACCATAGGTGTCCTTTTAGGGGGACTAGATGAGAAAAAACCACCAGGTAAACCAGGAACCGCAATCTATTTTTCGACCAAAACCTCAACAAAAAGGACACCTAGGTGTCCAACTTCCTTTCTGCACTCGGGGACACCTGGGGGAAAGTAGATGACGATGTGGGTAAAGGAGTTGACTGACTCAGTGGATCCCAGTTCCCTATATAGTAGGTAATCAGCCATGTCCCTTTTGGTTGCTAAAGGCTGGATTGCTTTGTTGCTACTATACAGAGAAATGGAATCATTGGGCAACATTGAAGAATTGCGCCAGCGATAAATTTTCCTCTCAAGTAAGTCAGCTGGAGGCAAAGGATGTTGCACCCAGTTGCGCTGCTTTCTGTTTTGGAGGCCGCTCGAAATAGCAAAGATTTCGGATTTCGGCTCAGCCGCGCCCAGCGTGTGCCGTCCACTTGCGCTTTCGGTGGAAACAGAACTTGGGTATGATTTTTAACTGGGACCCTTTGGCATTTGGTGGGCGTCATTTGAGCGGGGATTCATGCCGATTCACAATGTTTGGGAGCGTTCCCTATTTAAAATCATAGCCAACTGATCACCGCACGCCTTGTCTCTCAGTAGGGTACGGAATCCGCATCTGGGTTTCGGGAATAAGCAAAGGTATTATATTGAAGAAGCCACAAGGGATGGTTGGTAGGGTCATTCCTTCATTCCCGGCTGAGAGCCAGCAAGCAACAGAACATGTCAAACAAACAAACTTATTTTGCATAGTCAGCTTGCCACCTCAGCTGTTAACACGGAACATTGAACGAATAGTACTCAATAATTTCACGTTTCCCCTGAAAGAAAATAGACTGTGAGTATCACAGTAGGCAAATGCTTTCAAGCCAACAGGGATCACAAACAAACATCACTTCACAACCCTTATTCAATAGCATTGCTTCCTGCAGCCCCCAAATCTCAAAGTGAACAGAGCCAAAAAACAAAACAAAAAGCAAACAACTTAATCCAAGGCCAGTGAAGATCACCCAAGACGCAAGTGGAAGCTGCGAACCTGCTTTGCAGGATCAAACGTTTCGCTCGCGGAACACCGCTTGCCCCAGGGGCCGAGCCGTTCGCTCGGCCAACGAATGCTGAAAGCTAAACTCGTGGCAAAACATTCTTCCATTTGCTGTTTCGCCAAGTCGATTGCGTTTTATATTTATTTATGTTATTTTCTTTGAAAGCGTAGTGATAGATTCCGTTTAAGACCAACAGGGGCAAATAAAACATATTCTTAAGCAACTGAAAGAATTGGAGTAGTCGTAACCTTACACCAAGCATTGGCAGGCCGTGCTTCCAAGGGGCGATTACTGAGCCGTGCGCACCGGGCGCGTCTTTGTACAATGGGCATGCATCCAAAACTGGCCTCGCAAAGGGGCCAAGATCTGCGCGGCAAGATCTAGGCTTGCTTGCGATCGATTGGGGCTTGGGCCCACATGGAGCAAGCTAGCCAAACCCGCGCGGGACTGGAACGGAATGGAAGGCGGGCCCATTTCTGCACCCGCTCCGTCGGGGAGAAAGGGAGCAAAGAGTGTGTGACTGCGGGAGAACGGGACCTATGGCGCAGCTGAGAACCTAATGTTACAAGGGAAAGCCTGCAACTTCCCCAATTTCACATATTTCGTGCCCCCGGCACTGTTCAGCCTATTTGATGACCTCTCGTGGTTGCGGAATGCAGCTCTGTAGCCTCGGGCTCGTACATGCCAATTTGTGCCTGAGACCGAAGGACTAGAACTGGTTAGGTTGCAGCCAGCTTCACAAGGGGCACGTCTCCATTTCAGGCCTTTCAAACCTTTGACCTTCTCACTTCCTGACCCAGAGGGTCCAAGTACCTCCTGAGGATGGCTTTTGGGGGGTAAAAATGGGTCTAAGTACCTCCTTAGAAGGTACTTGGACCCTCTGGGTGAGTGGATTGGCCCAAAATGTCTGATTTGATCATTTAACACTCACGACGTGATTCCCAAAAAGCCATGAGGCTCAGGAACTCAGGGAGCAAGTTGTCAGAAGCGGCAGGCTGGAACAGAAAAAAAACAAAAGCCCCTCTGCGGAGTGGTGCGCGGGCGCCTGGGCCCGCCAATCTATGTACATATCCGCACCCTAAGATCTGGGTGTGTCTTTTGACTGACCCGTCTGGCCTTGTTTTGTTTCTTTCATGTGCTAGAGTCCCCCGAAGAAGAAAAAAGTATTTCTAGTAGTTTTAGGTTCCCTTTAAAACCCACCGGGGAAACTGAAACATGCTCTTAAGAAATGAAAGGGCTGAATACCAAACCAAGGCGCATAAGGGAATCACCGTCCATATCCTGTGGAGACAAGCCCAGATAACATCTTATTTCTTAGGCTCCGCGCCCGACAAGGCACGCTTCACCCACCTGCAAGCCAGTTTGACGCTTTGAAAGCCGAAGAAGCGTTGCGCTAATGTTCAGATAGTGCTCGCCCCACTTACTTGCTTTGGCATTAGCACATATATACATATATACGCATTTGTATATGCACATGCATATGCGTGCGCGTATCAATTGGTTTCTCTTTTTGAGGATACCACTTGCGAAGTGGCGTTAAAGGTGTTGTGCGTTTGCCGTTTGCCCCGCAGGTCTGAAAGTTGGGATGCACACATTTGTATATATATATATGTACATGTGTCTTTGAAGCTGGCTCGTGACTTTCCCCATGCAAGTTGCCAAGTAGCAGTTTCTGGCTTTGACCACTAGAAAGAGTCGTAAAAACATGACCCCAAGTGTTGGAACGCCTGAAGGCCTGTTTAACAAGCAACTTGGTGGGGCTAGTTGAGGGAATTTCTGTGGAGGGGGGCTGGGCGAGCGCAAAAGCTTAAACAGAGCAGCAATCGCCGAAACGCGCGACATGAGCTATGAACCCAGGAAGAGGCGTACAGGCTTAGAGGGGCTTACTATATATTGGTTTCGTTGCGACGGTCCCAGGGGCCGGGGCTGACCACAAGACGCCCGGTGACGTCAAGGTTTGTTAGATACGGTACTTGGAACACAATTTCGGGGCTGGACTTTTGCTCCCTCACCCCCTCACCCCCAACGAAACACTTTGTGATCCTTGGATTTGTGGGTCCCATCTGTGGCAACCGGGACTTGAGTGATCGCTTTAGTTGCCCTTTCAAGTTGGGACTCGCTTTACCAAAGATTATGGAAGTTCAAACAAATCCATGTCAAGGCGGCCGAGATTTCCTCATTCAAGCTTCGTTTTGAGCCCTGGGCGGATATTTCTTGGGGGGTGAACCGGGCAAGCGTTTTAAGAACCCCTCAGTTGGGGCCAGGGGGCTGGGGGTTTCCTCCCTGCAAACCCCTAGTTGCTGGGTGCATCATCGGTCCATCATTGCGCTGTATTAGAAGGGCTTTGGCTATTTGAACACTCTGGATGTGTCTCAAAATGCCTGTGGGCTTCCTTTAGGCTTCCGTTTTGAACATCCCCAACAAGGAAAGAATCTGAGTGCATCGTACCAAAACGGATACCCCCTCAGCACTTACAATACCTGGATTGGATTAAGTCGTCTGCAAAGGAGCTATCATTCCCACCGAGCAATATTACAATGCGCCCCCGTGCCTTTCACCGCAGGGCACCCACGGCACCCCCGGGTACCCCGGTCTGGGGCAAAATCCAGGCCGATGAAATTGGCCAAAGCGGGGGGGAACTCTGGAGACCTGCCTCGTTACCTTTGGTGACGCCAGTCGGAACCCCCTCAGGGAACAGAAAGGCATAGGGTCAGCGTGAACCTTGGGAACCTTCCCTCTTCTGCTTCAAACCCTCCGGCAAGCGCTGAAGCGCTCCGCGCCGTGTTCTCTTTTTCTCCTTTTGCTTCAAGGGCCATCCGGTCGACTAGCTGTCGTCCTCATCCTTCTCGTCGTTGATGTTGAAGTAGCCTCGGCCATCCCCATCCCGCGGGCAAAGCCAAGTGAGACAACGGCAAGGGGATCCAAAATGAAGAGGATCAGGGCCTTTTCCTCTGATCCTGTCGGGGCCCGGTGTGTTTGCCTGATTCACCCCCCCCCCTTCCCCAAAACAAAGACCCCAAAAGACCCAGCCTTGAGTGACCCCTTAGTATCCTTTGGGTTCTAACTGTTTAAGGGATACCCTTCCTTCGGGAGGGTACTTGGAAGATCAGTTTCCTCTAACAAGGACCCTCTGTCAGGTGCCATGTTAGTGGGCGTGAGGGTACCGGATAGGCTCTGAACATGCGAGAAAAAAACTCTTTGGCGTCAAGCGGTTTCTGAGGTTTACTACAAGGCCTGCACTTCTATGAGGCCTGAACTTATGGGGGGGTTAATCTGAGGATGCTTCCAGTCATCGTTCTCAAAAAAAAGCCAGCCATTTCCCCAAGGTTTTCTGGAAAGCTTCGGATCCCTGGAAAGAATGGGCCCAAAGGAACAAAACCGGTGGGGGGTGTCAAAAATGTAGACCCTGAAACCTGGTGCTGCATGGGGGGGGGGGTCAAAAATGGAGATGGGACCACAAACATGTGGGTAAGTGAGGTAAGTGTTTTTTGTTCCCCTAGACGAATGGCCCCTTGTGGCATTCCACGAAAATCCCAGGGGCGCATCTCGTAGGAGGTCTTCGTGGGAGCCACGATGCGCAAGAAGTCCCGGAGCTGTTGGGACTGAGCCGGGCGTCGCCGCAGAAGTCGTGCGCGGAAGCGGAGGGAAGGGAGGGGGGGGGAGCTGGGGAGCTGAGAGGGGGGGCTGGGGAAGGGGGTGGCTCAATACATGGGAACCCCCAAAATGGCGCAAAGTACATGGCAGCAATTCAAGGGCTGATGGTTGCGGGAAAAGGGGATGGGTTTTTGCCTCACCTGGAAGGCTTAGCAACATGAGGCCAACCAAGGCGACTGGCCTTAGTTCAGGCCTCTAACCGATAAGGTCGAATTGAGGTTGGGGCGGTTGAAGTGGGGAGGGGTGGGCGGGGCTTGTTTTCGGGTCCCTGAGGGAACAAAAAGCGAGGGAACTCTCCACTACTCATGGAAAGCACTTAAGCACAGTGGCTCAAAGGCTCCCCCACGCCAACTTCAGTCAGTCCGAGCTGGCGGGATCGGGTGAGACCTTCAAAAGGCTGGCGCCAGTCCTGACCTTTCGGGGGAAAGACATGGCCTGACTGAGAAAGCTTGGGCGCTGAACTGACCCCAAAAGCGAGCCGCTTTCATGGGTCCAATGGACAACATCACCTGGCCCAACCAGAAAGTTCCAGTCCAAAAAGATCCAAACAGCCAGAAAGAAAGGAGCCTCCAAATCTGTCTACGCCCCAAGGTCGAAGCCCGCGGTTTTCAGGGGATCGAGATGGAATTCCCCCCGAAAGCCTTGCTTGGAAAGCCAGAGCTTGTGAACCACTTTGCAGGGGGTAAGGACAGAAATATCAGGATATCTGGCAAAAACATGACCTGCAGCCACCGCGCCTCAAACATCTCTCTCTCTCTCTCTCTCTCTCTCTCTCTCTCTCTCTCTCTCTCTCTCTCTCTCTCTCTCCCTCTCCCCCCTCTCTCAACACCAACTCACCTGAAAATGCCCCATGGTTGAATAAACGCCCAAAATTTAAACAACAAGGTCCAAAGTGTGCGCCCCTGGCGCAAAGGCTGCTTTTCTGATTCCACTGCCTCCCAGTTGCATCGGTGGAACCCTTCAACCGAATCAATTCCCTGGTGTGAACGCTCCCTCTGTCCCAAGAGGTTCAACAAGTACCTTCCGCAGATTAACATGCAAAGAACATCATGTTTAGAGGCATCTCCTCTTGCAAACGCACACGCGCAAACACGCACACATACATACATACATACATACATACATACATACATACATACATACATACATACATACATACATACATACATACCTACATACATTACATGCATTGCATGCATGCATACATACATACATACATACATATGTACGTACATACATACATACATACATTACATACATACATACATACATTCATACATTACATACATACATACATACATACATACATACATACATACATACATACATACATACATACATACATACATACATACATACATACATACATACATACATACATACATACATACATACATACACACATACATACATACATACATACATACATACATACATACATACATACATACATACATACATACATACATACATACATACATACATACATACATACATACATACATATATTACATTACATACATACATACATACACATACATACATACACATTACATTACATACATACATTACATTACATATAACAGAACATAACATAACATATATACATACATACATACATACATACATACATACATATGTACGTACATACATACATACATACATACATACATACATACATACATTACATACATTACATTACTTACTTACATAAATACATACATACATACATACACACATACATACATACATACATACATGCATTACATTACATTACATTACATCACATACATACATTAAATACATAACATACATACATACATACATACATACATACATACATACATACATACATACATAACATAACATACACAACATACATAACATACATAACATACATAACATACATACATACATTACATTACATAACATAACATAGCATTACATTACGTTACAATACATGCATACATTACATTACATTACATTACATTACATTACATTACATTACATTACATAACATAACATATATACATACATACATACATACATACATACATACATACACATACATACATACATACATCACATACATACATACATACAATACATACATACATACATCACATTACATTACATTACGCTACCTGAGAGAAGGCCACGAAAGCTAGCGCTTTTTTCTGGCAGGATCGAGTAGCGCAAAGTCCGCAAGGTCTTCGCCTGCGCAGAGCGGCGCAAAACGGAACATTGATATCTGTTTAACGGGACCTTTCGTTTTTACGACGGGGATATTGTGAGGATCGAGTGGCTGGCACGATGTCATAGGCCCACTCGAGGCGGCCCACGAAATGGGGGCTTGCTCAGGTCAAAAAAAAGAGTCCGCGCGACGCGTTGCTGCCTCAGCACCTTGATTGAGCTTCATGACAGCACGGTCTTCCTCGTGATGTGCTGCACACGACCTCGCGTCGGCGAGTGGGCTGTGCAGGGAGCGGCTCATGTTTTGTTGTCAGTCGCACCCAAAGCACATATAACAACACGCAAGGCTGTCTTGATGATTTACACGAATGTCCGGGTTCCGAGTGGCGAATGCAAAAAAAAAACACGGAAATTGGCTCTAAGGGGGGCATGGCCCTGCATTATGTACCGCTTGGGTTACGAACATCACACGCGGGCTGTGGCGCGCCAATGCACGGAGATGACAACGTCGGTCACACAGACCGAGTCGCACCCAGAAGGAATGCAAGAAAACACACGGCTGGGTTGAGGAAATGGCATAAAATGCTCATCCACTTCGCGAAAAGCGACCCGTAAGCATCCTTAAGGGTTCTGCAAAACGTTCGTGCACGCAGAGTGGACCCCACGGAATGCATGTGAGCACGAAACAAAAACACAAACACCTTGAGCTACGCAAGAGCCAACAAGTTTGACGTGTCGACCCTTAAGCTTCCGTAAGGGTCGCAACAAAATGCGGGTTGGGGGAGACGGGTTAATGGCTCAGGACCAGCTAGTCTGTGGCTGACGAACATTATATGAAGAAAGGAATCTGGAACTCTACAGCCAAACATCCGCGCGATGCTTTGCTGCCTCGGCACTGTGATTCAGCTTCCTGACAGCATGGTCTTCCTCGTGATGTACTGCGCCTGACCTGATGGGGGCGAGCGGGCTGTAGAGGGAGCGGCTTACGTGTTCTTGTTGGTTGGCAGTATTTTCGCAGGCTTTCTGGGTTTTGTGTTTTGGGTCATCGAACGTGGCGGCACGCGAGCTGAGGTCAAGTTGAGGCAAGTCAGAAACGGTAGCCGTGCTGTGCAACAAGAAGACAAGGAATTCATGGAACAATGTCTTGGTAGCATCACAGGGCAACATTGGCACAGGCTGCGTTTCGGTTACAGGTTGGCCACGGGGCCTTTAGAGTATACAGGGCCTGTGCTCTCACTGGATCACGAAAAGGGTTGCAAGAAAATGCGCATGCACTGAGCGAAAAGCGACCCTCAAGCTTCCTTAAGGGTTGCAGCAAAACGTTCGTCCACTCATAGTCGATCCTCAAGAATGTCCACGGAACGCACATCAATACGAAACAAAAGTAGAAACACCTTGAGCTACGCAACAAGCAACAAGTTGGACTTATCGACCCTTTAGCTTCCTTAAGGGTTGCAAGAAAATGCTCATCCGCGTAGCGAAAAGCGACCCGTAAGCGTGCTTAAGGGCTGCAGCAAAACGTTTCTCCACTCACAGTCGACCCTCTTGGTGGCAGAAGAATGTCCATGGAACGCATCTGAATACGGAAAAAAAGAAACACCTTGAGCTACGCAACAACCAACAAGTTTGATTTATGGGTCCTTAAGTTCCTGAAGGGTTGCAGGAAAATGCTCATCCAGTTAGCGGAAAGCGACCCTTAAGGGCCGTTAAGGGTCGCAGGAAAACGTTCGTCCACTCAGAGTGGGCCCTCCCCGTGGTAGAAGAATTTCCACGGAACGCAGCGCAACAGGAAACCAACATAGAGACACCTTGAGCTACGGAAGAACAAATAAGATTGACTTATCGACCCTTAAGCTTCCTTACGGGCTGCAAGAAAAGGCTCATCCACTTGTCCTCAACTTGGGAAGGCCGAATGAGTGCCGAGACGCGAACTGCCGGGCAAGGCTGCAGCGTCGCGAGCTCCTGCAGGCATTCAGCAGCCACTTGCGCCGGCCTTCTCTGGCACCAAGCGCCATACCGACGGCTGAAGGTCCCGCTCCACGATGTCGGTGAGGGGCAGTCACGATCGTCAATGACGTGGAGGGCCAGGAGGGTCATCTCGAGGTGCGGGCGCATAAGCCGAGAAGCCTGCCCCATCTGAAGCAAGTCCAGGGACGTCTGGCGAAGTTGCCATGCACGCTTGGATGATCTGCTCGTGAAAATGTCACTCGGTAGCACATAGAATTGGTACAGAAAGGTGAATGCGGATGCCAACGTAAAATGAGCAATGTCAACGTTGGCCCGGTTGCCTTTTTTGGATTTCTTGCCAGAGCGCAAGGACCTCCCAGGGATCTGCTCAGGGGGCAAATAAGCGACTCGGCCGGACCCTCCTCCTGTGACAAGGTAGTACTTCTTCACCGCTTCCAGCATCTGGAAAGTCCTGCTGCTCTTTGAGCGCGCTTCCTTCAAGATCCACATGGCAAACCTTCAGGGCAGCGCAATGAAGCAACAAACAGGTGAGTTGCCCAACGCATGACATGGGGGTTGATGTTCAAACAATGAAACAATCTTCCGCCGGGCTCCATGAAACTTTTGAAGCAAAAAACGTCCGCTAAGCCAAGAGGCTGCGCGGATCGCAGATGGGTAGCCAGGCAAACGAGAGCCAGCTGCTCGCACATTAGCAAGCCGTGCATGGCCGGCTCTCGCAGAAGGCTCGCCAAAGCACCAGTCAGCCTGTCGCTTCCTGGGCTCAGAAAGAACGCGGACCACCAAGCGAGTCAGGGGTTAAGGAGGCATATGTCAAGCTGCTCCCGCTTTCCCCTTTGCCCTGTGCCTGAGAACAAAGGAAGTTGTTCGACAAAAATGTGAGGACCATGTTTGCCGCTCAATTAATTATCCACCTGCAAATATGTTGCTAGAGAAAGGTTATGGAAAGACGACCTAGCAAGATACCGCAAACGTTGAACAATGCAAGTCAGCGCTCGGCGCGTCTTTGTGGCTGAGTGCAGGTACGAGCCCGCGCAAGCCCGCCAGGTGAACGGGCGATGCGCTGCACCGAGTGCAAGAAAAGGGTTCGCCGTGCGGTTCTGCGAGCACAGTTGAGGACAAATGGACGCTGGGAGAGGCATACGCGCCACTGCTTGCAAGGAGAAAGCGGTGAAGCGCTCGACGCACTCTTCAAGCAGCAGTTGGAAGGCACTGGCCGACACACCGGCGGCTGCAGCTTTGGGTTCTAGCGTTCGCATGCAAATGCGCGCGTGCAGGAGAAAGCAGGCAGGCACCTGAAGAACGCATAGAGATCGGCCTCGATATGAAACAGGTGAGTTGCCCAACGCATGACATGGGGGTTGATGTTGAAACAATGAAACAATCTTCCGCCGGGCTCCATGAAACTTTTGAAGCAAAAAACGTCCGCTAAGCCAAGAGGCTGCGCGGATCGCAGATGGGTAGCCAGGCAAACGAGAGCCAGCTGCTCGCACATTAGCAAGCCGCGCATGGCCGGCTCTCGCAGAAGGCTCGCCAAAGCACCAGTCAGCTTGTCGCTTCCTGGGCTCAGAAAGAACGCGGACCACCAAGCGAGTCAGGGGTTAAGGAGGCATATGTCAAGCTGCTCCCGCTTTCCCCTTTGCCCTGTGCCTGAGAACAAAGGAAGTTGTTCGACAAAAATGTGAGGACCATGTTTGCCGCTCAATTAATTATCCACCTGCAAATATGTTGCTAGAGAAAGGTTATGGAAAGACGACCTAGCAAGGATACCGCAAACGTTGAACAATGCAAGTCAGCGCTCGGCGCGTCTTTGTGGCTGAGTGCAGGTACGAGCCCGCGCAAGCCCGCCAGGAGGTGAACGGGCGATGCGCTGCACCGAGTGCAAGAAAAGGGTTCGCCGTGCGGTTCTGCGAGCACAGTTGAGGACAAATGGGTGCTGGGAGAGGCATACGCGCCACTGCTTGCAAGGAGAAAGCGGTGAAGCGCCCGAAGCACTCTTCAAGCAGCAGTTGGAAGGCACTGGCCGACACACCGGCGGCTGCAGCTTTGGGTTCTAGCGTTCGCATGCAAATGCGCGCGTGCAGGAGAAAGCAGGCAGGCACCTGAAGAACGCATAGAGATCGGCCTCGATATGAAACATCGAGCGAAACAGCAGCAGGAGCGGGGGACTGCCTCGCCACTTCTACCCACGACGCCCAGCAATGCTGCAGGGTGCCCGGGAACTCCTCATCCACCAAGCAGAGATGGTGCAGAAGCGTGTCATGAAATGCCAGAAATGGCAGCGCATCAAGAGGCAAACTGTTGGCTCCCAGCGTGATGCAAATCTAATGTCAAACTGGACTTCATGCGAGTCATCACCTCGGAAAGAGACCAGGCCACCAGGCAGGCCCAGCGACACGAGCTTCTGCAAAAAATGTCTGAGAGCGGACAGAAGCGGCCAGGTAGTGAGGGCTCAAGACGGACCACTGGAAACAAATGCCACGAACAGAACCGCGAATGAGCATGGACACAGGCACGGCGAGGCGGCCAGACACATGTTGCTGAAGTGCGTGCGAAATGTAGCCAAATTCCGGCTCCGACAAAGACTCGGAAGCTATTGCAGGGTATCGGCGGAGGATAAAGCACAAGAGTGGAATGCGAGCATCGGCCACCGGGACTTCACAGCGAAACCGGGTGCGGCGATATTGGAACACGTAGAGCATCACCTGCAGAACGGTCGCGGCGAAAGGCGCCCGAAAAATAAAAATGGAAACCACTGGGAACACAGAACACAAGTCCCTGCTCATCGTCCCGGGCAAACATGTCAGATCCCAAACCTTGACCCAGATGGACCCCCAGAAGGGGAAGGTACGGATGCCCAAAATATGTCAAGTAGAACAAGGAAGCCCCCTAATTTGCCCGTAACTGCCTATGGTTTTGTGGTGTCTGGTTGGTTTACTTGCAAACTGCCAAGGACAGCCGTATGTGAGGCTAGGAAATGGATCCTGGCTCGGTTCGTTCCCGGCCTCTCTGCGAAACTCCGGTCACAAAGCGGCAGCAAGTCCAGGGCCATGGCGCCCAAGTAGCCGATACGTCCCGTTGTTGGTGGCTTTAACGAGCACTTGTTGGGCCTTTGAAAAGGCCAACCTTGAGTTGCGAGTGAGCTTCCCATCCACGTGACAAACAAAAGCAGGTAGTGTGGGGCCAAAAGGCATCTTGGCGAGGACAGCTTGCAACGAGTCAAACGTCACGCTCAAAGGACACTGTCGACATGGGCTTGCGAGAACCCGAAAAAAGGGTTGCAGCCGAATCAAAGGACACCCCTCGTTTGATTTCCAAGGGAAACGCCAAGCCGATCACTGGTGGATGGGCCGAAAAGTGTCCTCCAGTCAGGCCACTCGCGGAACAAAAAAACAAACGGACCAAGCAGAGGCGCGAAGCCAACAATTCATCTCACTTGGGCTCCCTGGCAAAAAAACGCAACCCCTTAGTATCTTCAGCTTCCCTGTAATAGTCTAATTGGTGGGTTGAAGCCCGCTGGTTTGGATGGGCACCTTCCCCTTTTGGTGTCAATAGGACGGGTTCAAATCCCCAAAACAAGCCAAAGCACCCACTAATGGTTACCAGAGAGTGACAAACACACACACACACACACACACACGCACACTCTCTAGCTCATACTCACGCTCATGCAACCGCAACAGAGGCGCGCAGACACGCTGCAGGCGGTCCAGGCGGGATTCGAGCCCTCCCCCCCCCCCCCAAACGGACCCTTGATTCCAGCTTAAAAGGGCCGGGGGGGGGGGGGGTTGCCTGAATCATTCAGCATTTCGGGAGGGGGGGGGGCTCCCATGACCCTAAAGCGCCGTGAAAAATCACGCCGAAACGCTTAACTCCACTTTTCGACCCAATCCTCTCAGCAGAGCTGAGGTAAACAAAAACTCCAGCTTAGCTCCAAGGAGCTAGCTTTCGTGACATTACATTACAATACAGTACAATACCTTACATTACATTACATTACGTTACATTACATTACATTACCTTACCTTACATTACAATACAATACAATAAATTACAATACAATACAATACAATACATTACATTACATTACATTACATTACATTACATTACATTACATTACACACATACAAACATACATACATACATACATTACATACATTACATTACATTACATTGCATTGCATTACATTACATTACATTACATTACATTACATTACATTACATTACATTACATTACATTACATACATATATGCATACATACGCACACACACACACTGTTTAGGTTCCCAGGTAAAAAAAATATGCAGGCAGAAAACGCCTTTCGGGTTCCATGCCAAATGAACCTGCCTTCAAGTACTTCTTGCCCAGGTACTTCCTCGGTCGGACTCTGGAGATCAGGTTCGGGAGGCAAAAAGATGCTGCACCACTTTGATAACAACGGAAACCATGGTCGGTTGGTATTTGCAGGGGATTCGACTCATTCCCGGGCGTCTCTCTGTGGTGCAGGAATTCGTCCATCAGTAGGGATGGAGAAGCGCGCAAGGAAATCGGAAAAAAACAGACAGGCGCCCAGCGGGACTTCCCCAAAGCAAAAGTTAATCCATTTACCGGTTCTTACTTCCTGAGTTCATGAACTTTAAACTTTTGGGGAAGACCATTTTAGTGGTACATATAAAGTTTGGACTTTTTTTGGACCATCTACTCAGCCAGTGAGGGCTTCCACAAGTGCAGCACTTTTGGAGGTTCCAAAAAGGGAGATGGAGGAACCCTTGCCAGAATCTGCTTGAAGATATCCCAGTGATTCTGTGTCCTACTAGTGAATAACCCAGGAAACTGCCCGACATAAAAACCAAAAGGACAATGGCGAAGGGGTACCTACTATGGTGGTAACTGGGATTCACTGGGCATCATTCCAAAACCTGAACTCAGTGACCCAATAGGTTCACCAGAAATAAAAGGTGATCACCTTTTGGAACCTTGCCTAAAACTGGCCCGACTCAGGAGGACACAAAAACGTCGATTCGCTTTGGGCAAACATTGATGGCCCTTCTAAATGGAATAAAACCCATCTAAACCGGTGGAACGAACCTATGCTGAACCAAACTCGCCTAAAAAGAAGAAAAGGACACCTATGCGCATGTTTCGCATTTCAGCAGCAAAACCTGGAACGGGTCCCAAAAACCAAAAAGGGGAAAGCAATGCTGGAAATGGTTGCTTCTCTTTCCCTGGAAAAAAGGTTGCTTCTTTGGAGATCTTGATTTTGTGGGCACAGCTGGCCCCATTGAAGAACCAAACCGTTCAGTGCTAGGGAAAGGGCGGTACAGGGACATAACGCCCCCCAGCAGGCCCTGGCAACCAAAATAATGGGCCCAGCGCCCAACCATATAAAACAAGACACCCAAAGCAAATCTCGGCCTGGTGATCCTGGTGCCACACTCGGCCAGACGGATCCCACCCCCTTTCCTCGCCAAAAAGTTTTTGATGTTGCTGGTCGAAAGGGAAAATGAATGAAAATGATCGAACCCAAAGCAAAACACACGTTTCTGAAGTCGACAGTCTTGCTGCCCAAGAAACCAAACCCCCAACAAACAAGGCGAATTCACTGGGTCGATGCGCCTCTGCGAAATGCAAAACAAATCACATGTTCTGATAAGACTGCACCTCGACGCCCACACAAATGGGCTTATCCAGTGATAAAGCAAGCCCGGGAGTTATCCCCAACAGCCCCGGACGGAAGGAACCCAAGCCGAATCCCCGGAACCCTCCCCAAAAAGCTGCCCCAAACCATAGCTTCCAGCTGGCGAAAAGACTGCCACACATGGCCAGCACGGGCTGAAGCCCCAACGGCTTGCGCCCCGTTGGCCGAGTCCGCGAAAACGAAGACTTCGCCCGACCGCCAACCCGACGGGGCGCAAGTACCGCTTGGAGAAGGGCGCCTGCCAGTACGCCGCGTGCACAGGGCGTGGGGGCCCCAAGGGGGGCGGATCAATCCGCTCTCCGCCGACCTTTTGGGCGGCCAAAATGGGGTCCACGCCGCTGGTTTTTGGGGTAAACCCCAAACGACGCCGGGACAGACGGACTTGCTAGCTATTCTTGGGTTGCTTCAACCCAAGAAGCAAAAACAAGGGTGGACTATTGCTCTACTGCAGTTGCCATGGATTTTCCTCTGGGCGCAGATGTCTATCTTTGTGCCGATGCAGTCTTTGGAGCTGTCCAACTTTGGTCTTTTTAAAGCAAGCTTGATTTACGGGGTCCTACCAAAACGTCACGTTTGTTGAAGAAGCGTTTTTGACCCAGAGGGCGGTAGAAGTCATGCAGTCCAGGTGGGAGATCAAGGTAGGAAACTGGCTTTGCTGTTCTTGGTCTTGGCGTCCTCGCCATGGATATACAAGGAGGGAGGTCCACATCCAGTCAGGGCAGCTCGCGAAGAACTCAGGGCAGAATCGACGGGTCCTCAATCTGTGAAAAACGACACCTGGCTCTGTGTTTTGTAAGGCTCGGGACCCTGTTTGCCGGCGTTTGAAGGGAAATCGAAAGGAACAAGAAATACTGTGGATGGGCGCAATCCTGCACCACCTAAGAAACTGTTTTCGATTCCCCTGCAAAATGCCAACAAACAATGGCGTCAACCATGGTTTCTTAGGTGCTGTGAAATGAGGATTTCGCCACCCTCCACCGTATGTTTCCCTGAGAAAAAGGTCCTCCAGTAGAGAGGTTAGAATAAGGGTACCAACCTGTTTCTGTAGTCTATTTTAGCAGGGGAGCACCCTTCAGCTGGGAGACCTAGAAAAAGCTGCCAGTTTCAGCTGAAGGCAGTTTTTCACGTCCGAACCTCTGAGGGGCCTTCCTTTCCTTTCTCGGGTTCGTTTTCTTGAAACGCAGCCGGCCTTGCTGCCCAAGCGCTGGCAAGCCAAAATCCGGGCTGCTCTCTCTTTTTGCGGCCCACTGAGATCAACAGAACCCAAAAGAACGGCGAAGAACTGAAACGCACATTTCCGAGAGCCCTGAAACAACGCCGTGTTCAAACATCCTTTGGAGGGAGGGTACCCTGAGAAAACAGCCCAAACAGGTGTCTTTGTTGAGGGGACTCCCAAAATGTGGTTTTCCTTGTAGTTCCCCACTGAAACCACAACACACTTCCGGAGTGGACTGGCCAAATAAAGTCGACTGGCCAAAGTCCTTACCACCAAAATGGTCCGTTCCAAAAAAGTATTTCACCAGGTCCTCCAGTAGAGAGGTTAGAATAAGGGCAACCTTTTGTCTGTAGTCTATTTTAGTAGGGGAGCCCTCCCCCAAAAGAACGGTACACGGGCACTACTGGGAGACCTAGGCAGGGATCCTTACATTATACACCTGAACATTGGGTGGTTTCCAACTTTATTTTGGTGTTGAAAAAAAGCAACATGTTTCAAATGGTTGCACAATGGAAATTTATTTTAAGGAGCCCTACTAGCCCAGGGCGTGAGACAAAGGAACAAAACGGCTCCATGCCTCCGCGGTCACGTGGACTTTGGACTTCTCCCGGGCCACCGTAATCTGAAGACCGGACGAGTTTGGGGGGTTGAAAGAAAAAAATGGGGGTTGACTAGCTGGTCGAGTTTGGGGGGTTGAAAGAAACAAAAAATGGGGGGCTGACTAGCTTCAGGGGCTGGTGAGGCTTAGGAGTTGAACTTTTTGGGGCTTGGCTATTTGTAGGGCTGGCTACCTAATTTAGTGGGGAAGCCTTGGAAGCAAACTAACACCTGGTCCTGACTTGCGGGCTCTCCGTGAATGGTGAATGGTGCAATTGGAAGAAGGATATCACTTAGATATGGTGCAGGCTTAGGACGAACAGGACAAACCGCTCGTGGAAAAAAAAACTCGGCCCTTTCTCTTGCTGGTCCGTGGGAACCAAAGCTTGTTGCCTCACTGGCGTGGATGGCCCAAAAAATATTTTGTTACCACACATCAAAAGTTTAGAGTTACCACTAAAATGGTCCAACCCCAAAACGCTTTTCAAGCTCATGAACTCAGGAAGTTGCAATACATCCGGTTCCCTTTTTCAGGAAGCCCCTGAAACCGAAGGGGCTCCTTCCGTAAGTCATGACCAGTTCTGTGGATGGTTGCGAAATCCTCTCAGGCACCACCTAAGAAATCCTAGAAGGATTCCCCTGAAAATACCAACAAACAATGGTTTCAACCATGGATTCAAAGTGGTGCGAAATGGATTTCGTCCATCCACAGTGGCAAGTCATGAGTTCCGGCTGGGATGTTCTTGCGTGCTCTTCGGGACTTTCCCTGCCCGGGGTGCCCGAACAAAAGGGACTAGGATCCCAAGACCTCATTTAAAAAAAAAAAAAAAAAAAAAAAAAAACTGTGGGGGTTCGCTCATAGGGTCTTGCGCTCCTACGGCGTGTAACATGTCTCGGGCCCATTTTGGGGAGTTGGCTCCGACTTCGATCCGACTCGATCAGCTTGGAGACCCAGCTCTGTGTGTGTGTGTGTGTCTGTGTTTGTGTGTTTTGGGCCTTCACATTCCCCAGAATACTGAAAAAGCAAGAGGACAACACCTTCTTCAGCTTGGTTTGGGAAGACAGGACTAGCGCAAAAACACCCTTTTGCAAGTTGGTCTCATAAAGCAGGGAATGAGAAAATGGAATGACCCTGACAAACCATGTCTGGTGGTTTTCTTTCAGGGGACCCCGGGCTCATTCAACCACATTCCCTGAGCACCCAACTTCCATTTGCTTCAGCCCCGCGGGAAAACATAAAAATATGTCCAGTAGTGAAACTGATTCCCTTTAGAAATCCAACAAGGCAAAAAAAAAAAAAAACAGTTCAGCAAATGGAAGCCACTCAAAGGGGCGAACCAGCCGCACGAGCCTTGTCGCCCAGGTTCCCCGTCTTGCCATCCACCTGGAGCCGGCCGATTCTGATTCCTTTCGGCACGGCCCGGTACGGCCCCGCCATGTTCTGCAGAGGGGAAGACTCGTTGGGAACAAGGGAAAGAATTCCTTGCAGGAACTGGGCAAGGAAGCGGAAGAAGTCATGGATTGCAACTTAGAATGGTTTTGGGGTCAATAAGTACTGCAACTTAGAATGGTTTTGGGGTTAAGAGTTGTGGGGATTAAGAGTCGTGAATAGGATTCATTGCAGGAACTAGGGAAGGAAGCGGAAGAAGTCATTCACTGCAACTTGGAATAGTTTTGGGGTTAATGCACTGCAACGTACAATAGTTGTGGTGTAAATTCACTGCAACTTGGAATAGTTTTGGGGTTAAGAGTTGTGGGTAATTAGTCTGATTTGCCGTGGATTGCCATGGAGTATTGGCTTACTTGCAATAAGACAGGGGGCATCCGTACCATTCACCCTGCCAAGTGAGAAAGAATTCCTAGTCGGCGCAACTCGGCCGAAAAAAACACATGGACTATTGCGCTGCGATGGTCCAATCCACGTACGTTTTCGGCGCACAAGAATTGATCATTGATATACCTAGCAGTCATGACCAGCTCCCTGCTTAACATGGACGGAAATGCATCACCTGAACTGCAAACCCCAGTGTTTGCTAACAGTTCAACACATGGTTTCCACAAAAGCTTAAATCAAAAGTCTTTTTTGCTTTCGGAAAGGAATCGTGTTGGTGGTGGAGGCAACCTAAGTTGCCCTCAAAAGAGACCTTGACTGGGGAAACCAACAAGTCAACAGGTTGGCGTTGTGCAACCGAGTGCAAAGAACCCACTCTGCTTTGGTTGGTTCTACCAATTAGGTTCCTTTTGGCGTGGGCGCATGATGACCCCGTGGCGATCGGCACAAGTTCGGTTCTCACCCGAGTCCGGGTCGCAACCAAGTAGCCCAGTTGGATCTGGAATTAATTCATGAACCCAAACAGGGATCCGAATGCATTATACACCTGAACATTGCAAATAACTGTAAATGGCGGTTTCCCTTGATTTTGATGTTGAAAAGCAACATGTTTCAAATGGTTGCAAAATGTATCTCTGAAGGAGCCCTGCCAAATTACGGCGGAACTCAACAGTTTAAAAAAACCAAACGCAAGTCTGATCAGAAGGTCGATTCGCCCTAAGTGAGTCACCCGGGAAGATGACGGGAAGCTGACGGAAGACTACGGGAAGATGACGTAAGACTACGGGAAGATGACGGGAAAATGACGGAAGACCACGGGAAGATGACGGAAGACCATCGGGAAGATGACGGAAGACTACGGGAAGATGACGGAAAACTACGGGAACCCTAGTTGAGTTTTCTCAGCCCAAATCTTGGTTGCTGTTGACCCCCCTGTAAAAAGTTGACAGCTTTTTGGGGGTTCAGTCGAAAACCCAACTTGATTTCCCAAAAAGCTAAAGTCTAAAGATCCAACCCGAGAGCAGTCAAGAAATGAGGTTCAACCTCGGAGCCCCGTTCTCGCCTTGATGCGGTTCGTGAGGAACTTCTCGAAGTCCTGAATTGGGCAGTACGGTACTAGACGTAGTCAACTCCATCCGATTGCTTCGCACCAGTTCTAGGTCCTCCAGTGGAGAGGTTTGAACAAGCGTACCAACTTGTTTCTGTAGTCTATTTTAGTAAGGGCATGCTCCTCCCAAAAAAAGGTAACACTACTGGGGGACCTAGTCGATCAAATGGACCAATCCTCCTTGTGGGGGGGCAGCCAACCTCGCTCTACGACGGCCATGTGCAAAGAGGCTGAGTTAACTGGGCTGCCCGTTTTCCGATCTCCCGCTAAAAGTGACTAACTTTTAGTGGGTTAAATGGAAACTACCACTAAACACTAAAAAGCTTTAAACGGCTAAGGAACCGGATGGCTGGGAGCCACCAAGTTAAGGGGGACGAAAAAAGAGGGAACCCGTCCGCGTCCTCCGACTCCTGGCTTGGATTTGGATTTGAACGCCTTCGTGTAGAGGGATGGAAACACCGCCAAACCACCGGGCTCCAAACCACCAGGGGGAAGCCCCGAAGCTTAAGCATGCAGGGTTCCACTTTTTGACTACCCCAAAGTGGGCGTAAATACCCAGGGTCACTCCCCCAAGAAGGAGAACCCCGGTCTATCTGGAGGTAGTCAAAAAGTGGAACCCTGCAAACAGGTGCATAAGCGATTTGTCTGCTTTGTTGCCGTTGACCCCTCTGCAAAAAGTCTAACTTTTGGTGGGTTTAGTGGAAAACCCCTTCATTTCCTAAAAAGTTAAAGTCTAAAGATCCAACCCAATAGCAGCCAAGTCTGGGAACCCCTCCTTAGCCGCCAAAGAAATCCCTCCCGCCGCCGAATTTCAGCGCAGCTTTCGGAGCTCCTTGGCTTCGATGATGTTGTCGTCCGCTGGCTGCTGGCAGTCCACGGTGTACTTCACCGTCTAGTCGGGTCGCATTTGGTCCAAAACACCTAGTGCCCTAGTTGCATGGTTGGTTGCTTGTTGGTTGGCTGGCTGGTTGGCTGGTTGGTTCGTTGGTTCGTTGGTTGGTTGCTTTGGGAACCAAGAATGGGGGTCCCCCCAAGGAGACGCCTCTACAAATGAAGGCTGTCGGGGGGTTTTCGTGGTATTGGCCTCGCCCCGCAGACCGGGTCGACGCCCGCGCAAAATGAGTCGACCTGTCAGCCTCTGGGCTCCGATTTTCCTCCGGTCCCAACGTGAAGCTTCCGGTTCCAACGGCCCAAGAGCAAGGCGGCACTTGGTGGACTTGCAATGCCGATGTGCCTAAGCCTCTGCAACAAGACTTGGCTGGAAGAAGAGGACCCCAGCAAAAAAAAACATCTTCTTTGCCTGGTTAATGGAAAACAAAGGGGACCCCAAAAAAGCAAAAAAGGAAAAAGGGCAGCTAATTCTGGGGAAGAAGAATGATGTGCACCATCTAGAATGTCCTTCCAGAACCTTTGTTTGCTCCTTAGCTCGTCTTCCCGCTTCAGAAGCAAAGTTGAATACCCCCAGCTCCCTAACGGCTCCCTTCCAGCTAGCTCTTCGACGGTGGTTGTTGGTTCCCTGGCGATTCGCACCCCGAGTCATTTCTGAGGCCAGCGCGGTCTTTTTGCTCACCACAGCCCCCTTCTTCTTCCTTGGCGCAAACATTTACCCCATTTGCTGCCTCCATTTGCTTAAGCATATTGTTTATTTTCCCTTGTTGGTTTTAAAGGGAATCTATCACTACTGGAAACTATTCTATTTTTTCCGGGGCTTAAGAAAATGGAAGTGTTTAAAAACCGGCGCCCCATAAATGGTGTTCCTGGTGGGTGTCCAAAGACTCAGTTGCCCAAAGGACCCAGAAATAAAAGGTTAACCTTTTGGGGCCATGACTAAAATTCCCAGGCACATGAGCAGCTCTCACAGCGCCTTGTTTTCCACGATTCCATGCTGGACTGCTGCTAACGCGTTCTCGCAACCCCGGAGGCACCGGCCGGTCAACGTAGACCCAGCATAATGAGCTTTTGCCCTAAGTTTTCCGGCCACGGCCGGGTCCAAGTAGCCCTGGCGCTCCACAGCAGCAGTCATGGCCAATAGCTTCTCTCGCCTGCCTTCCTTGCAGTCCAACTTAAGCAAGCCGTGGCTGAACACTCGACTCACATCCACTGAGCACCCAATGTACGTGGCCCGTGGGCACATCGGTTGCCCCTTGTATTGGCCAAAGGTGACTCCGCACAAGTCGGCGAGTTGCAAGAGCGCAACACGCGCCGTGCCCTTTCCCAAGCATGTGTCCATGACAGCAAAATCATCATAGTAATGCGTTACGCACACAGCAAGCAACCTTGTCAACGCAGCCACTAACAACCCCGGCGCACGATTGTAGTTATTGACGCTGGATTTCAAGCCAAAGGCATGCCCAACCAGCGGCATAAAGGCAACGGTACGCCAAACATGATGATACAAGGCGACGACTGACCAGTGCTGCTGTCGGTCGGAGGTGGCATACTTGCGATATGCGTCCTCTTCGTCATCAACTCCAATTTCCAGCACCAAACTTACGCCTGCACGAGTAGCCTCCTGCTGCAGCCACTGCTTGTGAGACAGAAAGGCTTTGCTTGCTGACGCAAAGAACTCAAGCGATGTAGTGTGCACGCGCTCCCTGGTGATGGTAGCATCGTTGTGGCCCGATGCTTTGCCATTGTCGATGGCGCGACATTTGTTGTTGTGCTCTTGCTGAATGACATGCCGTGGGAGGGGACGCCACGCGCCCGCCCCGAACCTGGCATCCATGTCGGATCGGAGGAACAGACCTTCCCCTGCACCCTTGTCAATATCTTTTTGCGTGAGTCGCAAAAGCTCTTTGTCCATGTCTGGAGACTGGTGCGGACGCAAGGAGGCGCACAGGCTGTCAACGTACGTCTTGCTGGAGCGCAACAGCTCTTCCAAAGGTTGGGCAGGCTGGGAAGGCTCTGTAGGTCGGAGGACGTTGCTTACTTCCACGTCTCCGACAATATCAAAACCTACAATTATCCGCCAAGTGAAAGTGACATCTGGCCATGCCAGAACGCACTGCAGCCACAACAAGAAACCCAGGTTAAAGCCCCCCGCAACGCGCTGCACGCGAGCAGACATAAGCTTGCGCAGTTCTCTGGAAAGAGGCTCCAACGACTTGGCCACCCGTGTCACTTGCTTCAACACATCGCGTCTCCACTGCGCCAGATCCGCACCCCATTGGCATGCGTACTCAACGGCCACACGAGTGTCACGGGCCAAGACAGGTGACGTGGCAAATGGGTGACCATGGGCCCTGACGTGCTTCAAAGCCTGCGACAAGTGCTCCTCTGCCGAGAAACCCCACGGAATGAGGCGTGGCAACCCGTGCTTATGAGCTTCCCCACCTCTTTGCTGCCCCGCCGCCAAGGCACCCAAACCACGGAGATCATGCTCGGACAGATCCGGCGCAGGGTCGAAGCCTGCGCCGCTCCTCAGAGACTCATGCCAATACACGTGCAACGGGTGCCTTGGGCCGGCGAGAAGCGAGCGGAAGGGGCGCACAGCCTGTTGCATAGGGCCCGGGAGTTTTGTGCAATAGTTGGCAACATCAGGATCAATTGGAAATTCAAGGCTTTCTGCAATGTGGCAGCTGGTGGCAGCTTGCAACATGCCCAACAGAAGGAGTGCAAGAGACGGCACATGGAAAGTTTTTGCAAGCAGGTGACACCGTGCCTTCGCGTCTCCTTTCAAAGAGCCCACGTGCGTGTGCCCGCTGTTGTAACCTAGAAGCACTTCGCGGTGCTCTGCAAGCAACGGCTCCCAGTCTTGCGTGCTCCTGTGCCAAAGCAGATTGGGGGCTTCGTAATGCTGGCAATGGTACCAACCATGCACCCTTTGACGGGCAACTGCGTCCGCGGAAGCCAACCGCGCGTTACCTTGGCCCCCATGCCCGCCGGGGCATGTGAATGCTTCAAACCGCCCTTCAGGGTAACGGTGGGAGGCAGACTGCTGCAAGCGGCTTGGCTGGAACTCACCTCGGAACACTGCAACCAACGCCTGCAGGGGGCGCAAGGGCGCCGGCACCATCAACTCATCACTTGCTCCATTCAACGTTGGCGCAAGCATGCCGCAAAGCAAGGAAGAAAGGTCATGGCTGCACCAGTACACACGGTCGCGTTTTACCCAGCCAAGCTCAGCTGCATTCACTCGGAGAGGCTTAGAACACGTTGGGACGCATGTGGCCAAGTGTGTTGAAATCTGCCTAACGACGCTCGCACCCACGGAAGGCACGCACTGGTACAACCACAGGAACTTCCATTCGCTTTCAGCGCACAAGTTGTGGCAGGCTTGCAACACTCGCTTGAATTGGAAAAACAGGCGACAAGTTTTGTCATGCGGGGTGAGGACGCAGCTTCCCTGGCTGGCATCGGGAAACTGCTTGCCAGAGGTTCCCCCAACAAGCAAAAAGGTGCAACTCCGAACACGGGCAGTTTCAGCACGAAGGCGTGGCAAGTGGATAGCCTCGATGGGGCCTAGCTGCTTCACTGAGGGAAAACGCTTTTCCAAAACTTGCAGGGACTCGGGGCATGTCTCAGAACTTAGGCCAAGCGCTACTGGGCATCCTGCGGTTTCCAAAGCAGCCCATGTGCCCCCAACGTTGTCCTCAACGCTAAGAACAACAAGGCTGTCAACTCTCGGACTGCTATCGAGACCCAGTATCCGCAGCAAGGCGCTGCTTGCTCCCGAAACAGCTGACACAGGCGCTGGAAAAGGCGCGCGGGCTTGAGCCGTGCACGCGAGCTCCTGCGGCTGTGGCAATCCGCTGCCCGCTGGGCCAAGGAAGGCACAAGATTGTTCCTGCAACCGGTTTGTCGACCTGTCCAAGGGGGCCTGACACTGAAGGCTCTGGAAAGGTTCCGGGTGCACAAACGGTCTGTTTTCGCACAAAGGCGCTTGTGCGTGTGAAAAGTTTTGGCAATAATCACTGGAGACCCCCAGCCCCGCTTTGCCAGGCGGGGTTTGGGGGAGTTGTTCCTAGTGGGCCTCGCTGCGCCTATGGGCAGCGGCCGCGCACACGTGTCCATTCTGCAACAAAAAGTTGCACACGTGCAACTTGTTGTCTGGACACTTGGCCTGGCATTTTCCCTCATTCCACAAGGCGCAGATCGACTTGCCGCGCGAGGTCTGGTCGGCGATCCTGGCTGGTCGCGCCTGCCGTTTGTCCTTGTCCTTGACCAGAATGACTTCGTTAGACCCCTGCCGACCTCTTTCTGCTGTCTGGCTAGCCCCGCTCCTGGCTGCAACTGCCGGCGCCACTTCCGCGCCCGCAAAAAGCCAGAAGGGGGACGCGTCCACAAAGCACTTCTCAACGGCCTGGCCCATTGTGAGGTCATTGTTCCGCATGAGGTCAACCCACATCTCGCGGGTGGATTCGTCCGCTTTCTGGAGAGTTGCCAAGTCAACCATTTTCCCACCAGGCAGGAGAAGCTTGCGCTTAGCCCTGTCCACATACTCGCAAGCCAAGTCCCAGGGCAGCCAGCGAGCGGCGCGGAGAGAACCGCTGCCATCCCGGACTTCAAAGCAGCCGACCACTGCCCACCCTGTCATCACAAGTTGGAGACGATCGATGTAGTCGAACACGCCGTGCAAGTCGGAGGAGTCGTCATCTGCTGCAGCAATGTCCATAGACACCGTGTCAGACACCTTCAACCGCTTTGCCCGATGCAGTCCGGCGCAGGCCTGAGACCGGACCCGAGACATGGAGACCACCGTGAACTGTTTGCGATCCAGCTCACGCTTAAATCGCGCCAACAAGTTGTCGCACAGTGAGGCAGTGGGTCGGAGCCTGAAGTGGTAGTACGCAGCGAAAGCGGCGTACAGTCGGTCCCGCACAAAGCCTTCAAGCGGGCCTTCCCAGTCTTGGTCGCCTATTCCTGCAGCAGCTCGACTCAGTCTGCGCTCTTGGGCAGCTGAGTGCTTCCGCCACAGTTCCACCAGGGCTGCTCTGACTGTTCTGTTGTTCCGGGTCGAGGCGACCTGGTCCACTATGAGGGTCTGAATCTCTTCCTTGGAATCCACATAGAAAGCAAAGCGCGCTGGGGTCTTGCAATGCGTTGCCATCCATGCGATGAGGTCATCTGGGATGCCTTCACCTTTCAACTCTGCTTCGAACTCGGGGTCCATTGCATACCCAAGGTTTACTCGAGAGTTGCAAAACTGCGGTGGGACTGGCGCAGACACAAGGCTGTTTACTCATGCGTGCAAACGACCCTTCTGAGCCTGTCCGTTCTCAACACAAGGGCAACTCTGTCATCGAACAACCTGTGTGGTGTAGTGAGTCAGAGAATAGGAAGGATGGGCCACTTCGAGTGGACACCAGCCCGCCCAGTCCCGCCCACAAGTAACGCGTACCTTGTTTCTTCTTCGTGGCGAATTTTTTTTCCTGCGATACACAGGCAGAGCATGTGCTATGCCAGAAGGCCAGTGCGAACAATGGCCGAAGTAGCGCAGGGGGGAAAAAAATCAAGGCTCAGCCCCACTTCGGAGCGCCAAGTCTAGAGCGCACTTGCGACACCACTTTGCAGTTGGAAAGCGCTGACAAGCGCTTCGCCTTCCACTACCCACCTGCGCGCCGTTGCACACCAGGCCGCATCGTGTGGAAGAAGGGCCAGAGCGCCGGTGCAGTCTGTTGTTGCTTGAGCACAGCCAATTCACCTGCGCTGACGGACTTGCCGACCTTGAGCGGCTAGCTTCAGAAGAGCTGCTGCTACTACTACTACTGCTGCTGCTGCTGCTGGCGCCTCTGCTCCTGCTCCGGGCAGCCTTCCGCTTGCGTCCGCACAGGACAGCCCAGCTTGCAGACAACAACTTCCCCGCCTCTGCTGGTTCTGTTGGTTTGTCTGCCGCCAGAAAACTCAAGGCTTCTGCAACCTTTTTGGAGCATTGAGTTTTAGCGCGAAAGGCAGCTTCGGCCTTGTTGGCAGCATAGCGCAAAGGCATGACAGCGTCGCCGCCACGTCCGGCTCCTTCAGGCGCCGTCCAATTGCCCAGAGCATACCGCTCGGGTAACTCCATACGTGTGGCATGAGCCACAGTTGGCATGACCCGCCGGCACGCGCGCGCTCCCACAGAAGCGCCCTGCCTGGCTGGCCAACTCTTCACTGGGGAGTTGCTGACAAGGTCGTTGAGGAAGGTGCAAAATTGCCCTGCGGTCATGTCTCTGCCTAGCCACTCTGTGGCCTGAAACACTGTAGTTCCTTTGATGCCAGGCATGAGGTACGAACAAGAGCCTGCCACAGCTTGCCAGTCTTTGATGAAGGTAGCAAGAATATCCACCTTCTTCAAGCAAAAATTGAACTTGGCAACATACCATTGGAACGGAGGGGCTGCGAAGCCTCCTTGGCGGGTCTTTCCTCGACGAGCTTCAAAGACAGCGCCCTGCTCTGTCATTTCAACAAAGACAGAGCGTTGCGCGTGTCGAAATCTGACGCTGCCGAGAGCCATGATCAAGCAGAACTTGGCGAAAAAGGCAACCAACTTGTTCTTGGAGTTTGCCCAGCACCAGATTGCAAGGACATCCCTTGGGGTAAGAACCACAATCTCCTTGGGAGGCGCAGCTTGGTCGTGCAAAACCCGCTGCACGGCCACGTCTGTCACGCAAAGTTTCAGCCCCAAGTGGTTCTCAAGGAAGCGCAATCTGCTTCGCAAAGCAACCGCTCCAGCCCTAGTCTTTGCAGTTTCACGGACAAAGGCGCTCATTTCGATCGAATTTGGGGCTGCCATCGATGAGCCGTGTGCGCTGCACCATTTGCACCATTTCTCCCAGGCGCTGCACACTTGCTGAAGGCCCCTGTAATCGAAGTCTGCCAGGTGCCCTTGCAAAGCTGACAGCCACTGGTTTTGCAGCTGGTGCGAAGGTAAGGCTCGATAAGTGGGCCACAGGGTCGAAGCTTGGTTCACCTGAAGGAAAATGCTGACTAGTCTTGCGGCACTATCTGTCGCCCTCACGCAATCTCTCTTGTTGCCATCCAAGATCAGCGGAGTCCGCGCGGGAAGGGATTGCACTGTTGCCGGCACAGCTTGCGCCACTAGCGGCTGTGGCAGCGGCGTTTCACCGCACTGCTTTCGTGCCACCTGAAGCTGCAAGGCGCCAGGGCTTTCTGCCAGCAAGTGCCCAGCACGGGCAGCATCTCGGGACAGGCGTGCTTCCGCAATGTCATGCAGGCAGCCGAGAGTGATGTCAATAGCAACGACTTCTTCTCGGGCAAACCCAAAGGCAAAGACCCGCAAACTGCCGATGCCGTGCAAGGCTAACTTCGTTCCAAGGGCAGCCACCTCAAGCTGCGAATTGCACTCAGATGCAAGGAATGCCTTCAAGCATGGCTGCAAAGGAATGGCCACGCAACTGGAGGAGACTGCCATCAAAAAGAAGGCTTGCAGCCCGATTTCTGCGGCGAGTTGCCATGCTTGCACAAGGAATTATTGTTCACCTGGCCTGCCCACCATGAAACAATGCAAATGGACCAACAAGGGGAAACCAAAAGGTCAAAAGGTTGGCTTTGGGCAAGTGAGAAGAAGCCAGGCCCGACCAGGGTGCCCTTAGAAAGACTGATCCATTCCACACCATACGCCAGGTAGACTGCAACCAGACGCTTTGGGGTTCACAATGCTCACAAGCGGCTAAGTGGCCTGTTGGCCTTTGGGCTTCCTAAAAAATATTCCTTTCTCAGGTAACCAGCTAGCCCCTAAGTTGTGGTTTGGATGGGTGGTGTGGATGGATTTGGAATTCGAACCCCTGGTGAGAAGGAACGACAAACCAAAACGCCAAACCAATCCAACTCCACCAAGCAACCGACAAAAGCTGAGTTCTGAAGGCTTCTGCAACCTCTCCTAGCATGTGGGTGTGGCTCAAAATTAAACGATCGAGGGGCAAACCGCAAGAATTGGTCCATGTGTTCCACTTACCAGGGGGGTTTACCAGGGTTCCATTTTGGAACTCCGGTTTTTCGAGCACCAGCCATGTAACCCCTTGCCTTCTCTTTGAAGGGGGCCAGTGTCCAGGTGTTTAAACCCATTTGGCCGCAGCCTGCGCGTTTGAGCCTCTACGCCCTCCTCGATCCACAGCCAAGCAAGCTGGCCGAAACGCCAAGCGTCACTCCAACCTTTCCCATGGTCGCAAGGATTGGCCCGTGAACAACCCCGCTTGAGCCCAAGCGATTGCCGCGCTTCGGAATCCGGAATCGTTTGAAAAGCCCCCCACCCCTCACCCCCCAACCCCCACCCTTCTCCAAAAAACAACAGATTCTGAATGGCTTTGGATAAACTTAGAACCTGACGGTAGGCCTCTGAACGACGATAGTCCAACTCGCTGAGAAAAAAAACAAGTGAACTGAGGACCCAGGATCCTCGTGCGAATTCTGGCGCTGAAAAGCGAGAAGTCACCCCTGTCTGGCCACTTGGCTGCCCCCTCTTGAGCCATGCGACCAAACAAGAAGACGCCACTTGCCATTTGACCGACAACAGAAGCAAAGTCCGAAATGTCGGACTGAAAGAACAAACACATGCTTGAAAGGGAAAGGAAAAGATCTCCCACAGAGAGAAGCGCCCGCTTTGAGGGAGGAAGCAACTTAGAGCCCGCCTCTGGAGATGTTTCGCGCGAACCTGAGGATGAAGACGCATTGGGAGTCGATGGCTGCTTGTCTGGGCAAAACCCAAGACGGCGTCCACTAGCCCACCATGTCCATCGGCATGGGAAATACACACGTTGTGCTATGCCAGCGGAAATCATCTTAAGGAAGCTCGTGCAATCTGTCTTCAAGAACCCATCCCCCGGCGCGTCTCGCGGAGGATTCCTTTCGTATGCTCTGGGGTTGGTTGCAAAACGTGATTCAACAACCATCTCGTGATTACCCTTTCAAGGAGTTGGTCCATCTTTGCCTGAAAGCCCTGAAACTGAACAACTCTTTTGAACTTCAAAGGACCAAAGCCCTTTCAGCCTTTCCAAATTTCAAGGGAGCTCCCAAGGAACTTTGTCTTTACATCTCTGCCTAAACAGCTTTGGCTCACTTCAGGCAGGTGGAAAGCCCATTTCGGAAGCAAGAATTGCAGTGCCAGCTCCGCCTTTGGGCTGACTCCACCGCGCCCCATCTGAATTCCAGAAGGTGAGGCTACATATCTCCGAGAGTTTTTGTGTTACACCCTGGGATTACACCCTTGGGAAATGACCCAGAATGCCTCAAACTAACCCGGTTTTATCCGGAAATGTGCCTAAATGGGGTCCATACGCAGTGAGTGTATTCTCAGGGTGTAGTACAAAAACCCTTAGAATATCTCCACCGGGAGGAGGTTCCCCTAGAAAACATCGGAGGCAAAATGGTGCGAGACAGTGTGAACATGTTTTGTTGTCAGCTACATAATGTCCACATGTACATTCCAAACTGCAGGGACTTGCCCTGCTTGAAACACACGCATCCACATGCACGCACAGAAGAGACAAAATGAGTGTTGGCAGACATCCGCATGGACTGTTGGCCCATTATGAGGAAACCTAGGACAAAAAAGCTTACAGCTGGGAAACGCAACACGTAAGACGGTGGTCTGTGCGCATCATTAAAATTCAGAAACTGCAATTTGGGACTCCCTCTTTCCAAAATCACGAGATGCCCTTTCAAGTGCAGAATCGTACTGGTGGGTTCAAGTTAAACTGCTGCTTTTGAAGGCAAAAGTTGGGGGGCCCTCCGGACAATCCCAAGTAGATCCAAGAGGGTCCTTATATGTTCTCTTTGGATGAAATGCCAAAAAAGTGAGGTGAATGAATCCCCGAAAACATAAAACACGCGCATGGGTGTTTCTCACCAAAATGGATTGTGCCAGTCTGGTTTCTCTTTAGAACCACCCAAAACGAGGTCCACTTGGAGGAATCCAAATTTGTTGGGACCACTCAACGGAACAAAACTTGATAAACCAGGAAGTTAAATTCGAGGTATTTGAGCCCAATTTCGAGGTATCTAGGTTTTAGCTTGAAGGGGTTTGCAAACAGCAGCTGCTGGCTGCTGGCTTCGGCGCTGGAGCCGGTGCCTGCAGGCGCGCGGGCGGCGATGGCCGCTGTTTTCTCTTTCGGGGGGGAGGGGGGGGGTTGAAAGGAGGCTTACTGAAAGGGTTCTAGCGAATACGGGGCAGTAGTCTATTGAATTCATGATAGTCATGCACTCCAAGAACCCACTTGTTACTTGATGGATCCCACCCTGAAACAGAGAACTCCTTTGGTGGAACAGGTGCCCCTGTAGCGTTGGTTCCCTGAGCGCATAGAGAATATGAATCAACCCTTGTTCGTAGGGGGCGCCCGCCAAGTATGTAGATTCCCTACCAAAGCTTATGATGCCCCATGTGACAAAGAACAGTGGTCGATTTTTCGGGGTTAACGCTAGTTACCCGCAATTCGGTGCATTCGATTGAATCCAGGGATTGTGCGCAGGGGACAAGGTCATTCCAGTGCGCCGCAACTGCAAGGGTGATGCTGCAAATGCTGACTTGTTCAAAAGCTGCTGAACGGCTCAAAATCTTTGTGGCCCATGGGGAAATCTCTAGCGGCTCTGCTGGCGAAGAAGAAAACTCAGTGCTTGGGCTTGAACTCAGTGTCCTTTCAAGAGGCAACTATTTTGTTTGGGTCCTTTCGCGGCTGAGGCAAGCTAGTGGGGCTCACAAGAAGCCTGCTGCAACACAAGACACTTGTCCCCAATCCGCGAAGCCGCCACTTGGCTTGACAGGGTTGGACTCCCTTGGTTGAAATTTTCGGAAAGCTTCGGATCACCTGCCACGCTATCCTAGGAAAGCCATCCTGAAGAAGCCAGCTGGGACCAAACCCATTGCGAAGAAGGCGGCTTCGTTTCTGAAGAAGCCAGCTGGCGTGACCGCCAAACCCAAGCTGCTCCCTGTCTGAGATGACTTTGATGTGAGGGCCGCCCTTTTTGCAGGGTTTTCTAATGTTTGCCCGTCCATCATCATCCTAGGGCACCTTTTCCGCTTCCTGCGCAAGCAGAAGACCTGGGGAACCTTTGCCAGCACTTTCAGAAAGAACCCCGTTTTTTGTTCCTGCGGCGTGCCCTGCATCCAAGGAATTGGGCATTCGTTCTCCTGGATCGTTGCTGCAAGCTGTTTGGTGACACCTACGTCAAGGAGGCTATCCAACGCAAGCAATCCGCCATCAGCTTGTTCAGTGGCATTGAGTGTCCAAGAGCTAGCTGGGAATACATCAAGGTGGCCGCCAAGAACATGTGGGGTGTGAATGTAGGCTTGGAGTTTGTGTGCTCCGCACTTTGGCTTAAATCTGGAGGTGGAACAGTTTCAACAATCTCTGAACACATTCAGGCTTGAGTACAGGTAGCTTCAGTGCAAACCAAGGTGGAGAAAGACAGGGCGTGCCAGGAATGGCTGCATGAACTTTTCCCGTCTACGTGCCTGTTTGCGGATGTTTGTGAATTGGTCACCAACAAGATCCCACAAGATTCGTTATTGGACCCCCAAAAAATCAACATTGCCAAGAATGCATGGTGCCTCACGCACACGAAGATGTGCCGGGTTCCGGTGACCAAAGACACGGTCTGTGTCCTCGGAGCGCCGTGTGTATTGTTCTCAAGGCTTCCTCACTGCAAGTAGACACAGCAGGTGTTTGAGTCCAGGTGCGCGTTCAAACATTTTGTTGGTCGCAAAAGCTCTTAGGTTGGGGAAGCAGGAGAAGCTACGGAACATCAAAAAAGGTCAATGTCATTCCGTCAGTACGGGCATCATGCGGCATTGTGCGGTTTCCTTGCACGAGAACGTGGTGGGTTTCGATGATGAGTTGCTGAAAAACTCTCTGGACAACAAGATTGAAATGGCTCAGCCCCTTGGCCCCCCTTTAGCCCTGTTCGCCTTGCCCGAACCCCCTTCCGCCTGCCCTGCCCAGGCTTTGCCCGCAGCAGTTTGGAAGTCCATCGGGGCGGCCTCGCCAATACAGAATCACGTGGAACCCGAAGACTCGCAAGTGGGCTGCGGATTCTCAGCAAGTGCAAAGTTACAATGTTTAATTGTTGCTTGTCGCATGTACGGTCCAAAGAAGCACCCATGCTGCTTTGCATCAGCATTTTGCCTGATGCGAGGCAGACAGCTTTGCTAACTTTACCAAAGAGCTCTTGGTGGACCCGAAAGTGAAAACGTTGCTGAACGCAAAAGACTTTGCCATCAGTGACAGCGATGAGCTTGAACAAGTGTTTGGGGAGTTCAAGGGCTCCGAAGCCGGGCTGTCAGAGTGCCTTGCCAGCGGTGAGGGCGCCCTGTAAGTGTCAACCAACTCCCGTTCGAGTCAAAACACAAAAAATAGTTCTTCAAACTTGTAAAAAGCAATTGTTGGCTCAATTGCGTGCTCAGAATTCGCACGAGGTCTT